ATCGGTGCCTTGCCGGTTCTTCTAGCGTATCGCAGTCAGCTGAGGAGTCCGGAGCGGCTACCACAAAAAGCCTGAGACAGCGGCTAGTGCCTGCAAAAAGTGTATGCTTATCAGATCGTTCAGCACGGTGGGCAGCCACACCGGTGTGCAAACGCTGGCCCACGCCTAGCCCACCACGGGTACATTAAATCACACCACATTTTTGTGTTGCGGCTTTTACAGCAGCTTCATAGTTCTTTATAACTAACTTCAAGCATGCTTCTTCTAACTAACATCTAGCTTTGCAATAACTTCATAATTCTTATTCATTAGAATGTGTCCCGGACTGCTGGCTTCGCTGCATCAGCATCCTACAAAGACGTGAAGACATGTTCTCATTGCTGCACTTGTAAGGTGGGACATCACGTGACACGTCGCCCCGATTCCCGTGCTGATGTCTGATAGAGTGACGTCACTGAGAGCGTGGATAGACCCCGCTCGCACACTGAGGAGACCTCAATTGTAGCGCGGCTCTCGAAGCGGAAGGAGTCCCGCTCAGCTAAGTCGTGCTCGGCATCACCGGAGCGGCACCTCCGCCGGAGCTGACTGCGGTCGGAGCCCACCGGGCGGCCGGCGGAGGCCGTCCGACCCGCCCTCTCTCACTCAGTCGGTCTGAGTCCGCCCACGGCTGCAGCGCCTGGCCGGCTCTGACTGCGTCACCGGGTCCAGCCGCTTCGCCAAGTACCGCGCCCACTGCCTGGCTGCTGCTGCCGTCCTGCTCGGGCGCAGCACCGGGTCCAGCCGCTTCACCGAGCACCACGCCCACTGCTTGGTTGCTGCTGCCGTCCTGCTGGGTCGCAGCACCGAGTCCAGCCGTCCTGCTGGCAGCGTCCGGCCAAGCGGGCATTAAGCATCCGAGTAACTCTCTGTCTGTGAGGTAGCGAGGCGGCGATACCCTCCGCTTGCTCGCCGGCAGCGTTCGAAGTCACCATGGGCTCCAAACCACCACGGTGAGTGCCGCAGTGTGGCGCTGTCTTAACTGGGCGGCAGACGCGCCGCAAGACTCCTGAGGCGTGTGCCGAGTCGTACGCTGCAGGTTCAAACCTGGCTCTCGTCGCAATATTTTGTCATGCTATCGTCAATCGGTGTCATCAAGGCCGACGCTGGATAACGAAATGCATGAATCCATCGGTAAATAACCCAAAGTAATGAAAATTATTTTGGTACCGACGGTTTCCCTGACTAATCAATATTTATTAACGGACGGTTCAAATAATGAGTTAATTCCCCTGCGGTGGGCGGCTGACATTAGTTCCGCACCAAAAACAGCATGCGAATGCTTGGCAGGTACCGACCATGCTTTTTTTACCCCAGTGCAAGATCGCAACATAAACCATTCAAGGGACATGCCATCTTTTTGTACTTTTCATTTATTCCTTCATCAGACGTGTGCGATTTGATCAGAAATACCAGTTTTCTAGAAATATTTCTGAGTAGCTCAGAATTTCGATTTGGAGTAGCCGACCCCGGGGGAAAAGTCTCATGCGGCTTCCTGTTCACCGTTATGAAAGCAATATACTGCATTTGTCTTCCTTTTTCCGATGCGTATTCCGTAATATTTGTGACATGCTTATGAGCCAAAATGCGTGCATTATGAGTGCCACGGGAGTCTCAAACACCTTGTTTAAGCAGAAAGATATGCGAACATGAAACTTTTGTACCACGAATTCAAAGAAACGTTTTACTACGGCGTTGATTTTTCCACTACGGCTTTTACCACAGTGGCTCTTCTCCAGGCGTATTTTAGCTTTGGGAAGGGAGTATCACATGGTTCATGTGACTCACTGGTTTAAACTCCAACCAATGCTCTTCTCGGTAACAAACCCCTGTCGGCTGGGCCAATTACAGACAATCCCTTATTCGCAATAGTAGAGGTGCGCACGGTGATCGTCATGGACGACCGTGGTCGCGACCGCAGGGAATAAGTGCAGTGCTGTTACACAGCGTTGGCGGCGCAATTTGGACTCCGAAAAAGTCAAATTGACGTCGTCATTATCTCTTCACGGCGTTGCAGTGTCACTACGCAGTGCTAATATTAGACGTAACAAGTTCTGAGGTTTCACTAGAAAACGTTTTTAGAGACATTCCACAGGTAGAGCACTTCTTTAAAGCAGCCCCCATATCTGCTTTGATGTCTGATGAAGAGTATACTTGGCCCGTGACTGGCAAAAAAGGGGTTCCACAGCTTACAACCGTTGGCGTCGGTGGGGGGGGGGGGGGGGGGATGCACTCTCATTGCGTCGAACTCCAGGGGCAGTAGCGTTCAATGATTTAGGGTGACTACCATGGCAAACCGAATAAAGCACTGCGCGCTCGGAATTTCAAAGGAATATCTAAACATACACTTTGTTTCCATGATACCCCAATGATGGTGCCCCAGGATTAAAGTGTATGGTGATATGAGCAGAGTTGCTGCTTTTGTTATTTGATAGTTAATCATCATTCATTTCAACACCATTTACACACGAATGTGCTGAGGACTGTCCGAAACAGACAACTACGCCGAAAGGTATTGATGATTTGTTCCTAGCATAAGATTAGAGCGTGGCTTGCGGCAGCACGTCAGTGTTGAAGCAATGACTAGCGGACCGCTTCTAAACGTCCTTTACCTGAGAACGCCGCTCAAATCGTGGCATGAAACAATATTCGTGTATTCAGTCTTGAATGCAAATTGTGGATGTGCAGCAATTTTAATTGCTTGAGATTCGGAATGTCTTTTACAAATGGAAAAATCTTAAGTAAAAGGTGGTTGTTATAGAGCTGTGTGGTATATCGCTGTCTAACCTGTGTTTTCCTGATGGCATTTGTGCTCTCCGTAGACGTGCGCAGCATGAATGAATGCCAGGTGTTTATTAAACACAGGTTTTAAGCGTTACGATTTGTCTCTTCCATCTGGAATATTCTTTGTCCAAGGGTACACGATATTTGAAAAACGACGTTTTTGTGTAGGTTTTCCCTTTGGCCAATAAGAGCATGCATGACTTTGTCCGCTTCCAGTTGTACGGTTGGAGTGCCCAGGGCTGCTTGCCAACCACTCCGATTCGGAATCGGAATGGCCTTCCATCAACGACCACCAAAGCGAGCCATCCTGAAGGCCGTGCAGACCACCCCTCTGTACGGCGGCGAATTTGCGCAGTTCTTCATACATCAGGAATGGTAGTTCCACATGACAAATTTATTGCCTCACGAACTTAGAGCACTTCCGCGATGTTAAAAAGCAAGATATTTTATTGAGAAATCCAAAACTAAAAAATTCGCGGGCCTGATTTGGAACCCTATTAAGAACGACTGTCCTCTATGGGGAAAACAAGCGACAGACTACTGTAGTGTTCCGGATGTTCGGGATGTTCGTCTTCGGGGCAAACAAAGGACCTTTTAGCTACACTACGCACACACGACTGGAGATCAAAACAAGCGCGCACCGCCACCTCGCAGCATTTTCGATAACGCAACCGCTTTCTTTGGAGTCATAGAGTGTACGTCGAATTGTTATAGAGCGGTATATGTGCGGCCATGCACCTCAAGTATGTGCATGCAGCGCTGTGGATGTGGTGTGGCGTCTCACCTGGTGGTATCTGCAATTAAGTGCCAATGAAGGGACTCGGGAAATTTGTGTGGTAGGGATGTAGCTTCCTATTTAGCTGAGAGAGATCCCCGTAACTTGGGGTGCAGACACCCGACTCCATCCTGGGTTCTCCCCCACCCCCACCAAGTTCGTGAAGGAAGAGCGCCAAATCCGAGCAGAAATAGCTCTTCGGCGTATTTTGGAGGCATGCTTCATAGCTTTTCTTCTGCTCAGAGCCCAATTTCTTTTGCGACACTACGACCCTGTGTTGGGTGCTACGTTCCAGAGCAGCAGAAATAACCTGGAGTGTTGACTGACTCTTACCATGAATTCTTACTGAGAGTTTATCACTTTTTCGCGGTCAAAACCATCGAAATATTTTGGCATAGCCGTCTGTGTGCCAAGGTGTGGGAGTCGGAATGACTGCACTGATATTGTTCCTGGTGTTATATTTTTGGCCATATATATATATATATATATATATATATATATATATATATATATATGTATATATATATATATATATATGCTCATAACATGTCATGCTAAAGCGTTTCGGCCTGACTATATATATATATATATATATATATATATATATATATATATATATATATGTATATACACATATACTCAAAACATGTCATACTGAAGCGTCTCGGCTTAACCGTCTGGGTTTAAAGCAGCCCTGAGCATGGCCTTGTGTGCATATCGGGTGTTATAACGTGGGATCTCTGCGTGTGCAGGGGACCATTGGGTCTCAACAGTCTCTTCATTCATCTAAGGTCTCTTATCAACTTATCTAAACATGAACAACGAATCCAAGAAATCGGCCTGATTTTGGTAATCTCGGATCAAAATAGGAGAAAATCATTAAGTGACAATATAAAACTGAGTTCAGAGCACCTAGTTTGCGCCAAACTCGCTCATTTCGACTTACTCGTTCGGTAAGAGGCATTTGTATGATAAGGACACTTAATATGGAAGAACGACGGAATCTACCATCCGTTGTCACTTACAGGCACAACATGCCGCGGGTACATGATCGATCATTAAGGCCCGTTTGTAGGCACGAGTTTCCGGCAGCACCCGAATCCATTCGATAGGCTTCGTGTATTTCATCAAACCGTACATAAAGTGACACCTGGCGTCGGCTTTAAGAACTAGCCAGCGTTTCCATTGGTCTTAAAAGACGCGATGTGATTGGCTCATTTACTTGTGAACAGTTTACAATTCCATCAAATAGTGATAAGTTCATATTTTCTCCTATGGTTTTAAATAAATTTCATAACTATTTTCAAGTAGACCTGAATTCATAAGAAAGTGTAGAAAATTACACCGAAATATATTCAGTGACTCAGCTCAGTTTGACCAATCAGAGAGCCTGTTGGATGTAGGCAGTCCAGATTCGCCATATTGATATCGTACGTTAGACATCTTTGGGAACACGGAAAGAACCGTTCTTGGGTGCATATATAGAACAAAAGACATCAGAGTGAAGTGCGAAATGGCGACGATAAATCGATGTGAGTGAAGTTAAGCCCTAGGACTACCTGGAACTGACAAGAAAGCCGGTTTTCTCAGGCACCCTCCAGGTCACGTGACCTGCCGTCGGAAAGGCGCTTTTTGGACGAGAAATCAACAACGTTCAAAAACCTGTTCATTTTGCGGATCAGCTGATTCATCACCTATAGTTTGCCGGTTTGTCCAAACTGCTGAGATCGGCAATCATGACCTGAACATGCGTGGGAGGGGCGGCAAGCGGGGAAGAGGTCGGCCCTGCGAGGCCTCTGTTTCATACAAGAAGTGAGTTGGTAAACAAGAAGATCTTCATCAAGAAGCCGGTATATCTGCGAGATAAAGACGATGACATTCGAGGAAGTCGATCCAGTACACCTGGTGTACTCGCACCGGCGGACGGAGAAGAGAACGCCTTCTCCCGGTCCCGTTCCAGTTCTGTCACACGCTCAAGTTTGGGCAATTCTGCACGTAAGAAAAAAACAAAGAAGCTGAAGGCAGGAACATCAGCATCTGCCGATACAACCCAGGACTACTACTATGGGTCTGATTTTGAAAATTTATCTGATATTGATGAGAGAGAGGTTGGTGATGGCAATGAATCTGAGGATTCTGACAGTGAACCAAGGTCAGTGTATGATGCAGATGAACTGCTTAGTGAGAGTGAATTATCACTGCCTAGCTCAGCTGGAGCAGGATTACAAGATTTTGTACCAGTGTCTCGGCCACCAACCCCTGTACCAGTGTGGCTCCAGGACAGAGAAATACCTGACCTGGCTCTTCCACCCTCATCAGAGGACCTTGTTATCCCTCGGAAACATATTTTACAGACATGTGCAGTGTATGAGGTGCTGAGGCACTTCAGGACTCAGATCTTTCTTTCTCCATTTACACTGGAGGATTTCAGTGCTGCTCTGCTGGCAGAAGAGCAGAGCAAACTTCTTTCTGAGGTCCATCATCAGTTGCTTCGCTTGATTCTTCGTGAGGACGAAAAGCAGCAAGTTCAATTTGGGCCACAGGATCACAAAGACAGCATTAATTCTGTGCTGTACCTTTGTGATTTGGTGTCATGGCCAGAAACTCTCCGGGTCTACCTTCATGCAAGAGTAGGAGGAGGTGGTGGAGAAGACATTCAAGAGGCTATCAGAATATTGGACAACAACGAGTACCCATTTGTTCCATTTGAGGAGAGGCTCAAAGTTTTGCAGGTCCTGGTGGATATGCTCCTTGTCACTCCAATCATACGGAATGAGTTTCAGAGGTAAGCTGGCATGCTGTTCAAGATATTCTGGAACTTTTCCTAAAAAGTGCTGACTTATGTGTTAGGGCTTCTACTCCATAATAGTATGGTCATCTGACTTTTGATTGAATCTTGTCATGGTTTGCACTGTAATTGTTAAAGCATACAAATACAATTTTGTACCTAGAAATTATGATATCTTAATTGTTTGAAATTTGGTTAATTAGAATGACCTGTCAATGTCAATGGCCAATTTTCCAAGTGCATGTAGGTGAATATGTGTGGCTGGTAAAACATGTGTCATGGTATCTGTTGGGAAGATCTACATGTTTGCAAGTATTTGCAGCAAGCATTCTTGAAATGCTTGGTTGCAGGAACATGAATGCTGAATTTTTGGATGGTTTCTTATAACAAACATACCTAGCCTCAAAGATAAACACTTGAGCACTGATGGTGTTAATGCAAATTATATGATAAGTCCAATCATGCAGAAAACCTAATTATCATTATCATCATCAGCAAGCAATATGTATATTTTTGCCACTGCATTGCCTTTGAGAAAGACTATTAATAACCCTTATGTTTATATTTGCCAAGGTCTATCTCCAATAATCTAAAACCAGGCATAATCCATTGGCTGTGGTACTGTAGGCGGGTCATTAAAACCAGTGGAACAACTTTTCTTTTTGTGGCTCGAATCAAATGAATCAAGGCACTTGCTTCCATTGCTACCACCATATGGTTGCAGTGGCTTTGTTTGAAATGCAATGTCAGTTGTAGATTAAAATTATGTGATGGCAGTTAGAATTCTTCTACCACTATATCTGGCTATAGCATATATCTATCTGCTACTATATCTATCACATCTGGCTAAAGCACCTGTCTTCAGGCCCACCCACCAATGGCTGGGTGATTTTAAGTTCCTTTAAGAACTTGCTTGAGGCATTTGTTATTTCTCCCTGACAAGATGGCTTGCTGCAGAAGTGTTGTGAGTACAAGAAGAGACCTGGTGTCCATGCAAATCAACTCACTGCTATGTACAGCAAATCACTCCAGTCCTAACTAGCATCACAGCATTTCCTTGCTGGAATAGAATGACAAGAAATCAAATGAATGTGGGTAAGTAATGTCCATCACAGGTTTAGGCTTTCGTGAAGGCATCCACAATTCCCAGAACACGTTGATGTCTGCTAAGCTTGACAGTCACCAAGTTTGGGATGGCAGCTCAGTCTGCGGCTTAGGTCACTGGTGATTAGTACATTGTTGGAAGGGTAGCATTGTGTCACAGCCCATAGATTCCTGAAAGCACTCACAGACCCTTTCTATTAATGTCCTTTATCCAAAAGACTATATAATGTTTCAAAGAAGTTTTTTCTACTGTGCTCCATCAAAAGCTTACTTACATTCCAGAATCAAATGATTTTGAAAACAAGCAGCATGAAATTAGTTGAGATGCATACCAACTTGTGAAGTGATAAAATATATCAGCTGTCATCTGATTTCCGAGTTGTACTTTGGAAATTTTGGAATTCCAACACCTTGGAATCTAATCTGTACCTCTAGTCTGTAGCCCATGGCAGAGGGTGTACTAAAGATGAGGTGTTGCACAAAGGATTGTGGAATGTTCAGTTTCTACCACAAAATTCTGCCTTTGAGCTGGAATTTAAATTTCATGTTGAGGCAGGATTTTGTGTTGAGATGATGGGGTCAGGGCTCACACAACAAACTGCTTAGCAGCGTGTTAGCAGTTAGTATTGACCTGATTTCAGAAATTCATCCACTCAAACAAATATTTCTAAAAAGAACTTATCATGGAATAAATATTTCCAGAAAGAATTAGTGTTTTGATATATGTGAAGCTCATCCTCTTTTGTCATAATTTGCATGCTGAAAAGAATTCCCTTAAGCATAACCCATGATGTGACCTGTGAATTGGTTGCTCAGTTCCATCCATCCAAAGTCTGCCCAACATCTGTTCCAATGTGACAGGTTGGTGATGTTCATTGTTGACCTGCTTATGACTTGGGTCGGTGACATTCTGTGTTGGCTTGCCGACAGGGAGGGTCCCATCAACTACGACGACCACTGTCGCTCGTGCCACCGGCTGGGCGATCTGCTCTGCTGTGAGACGTGCCCGGCCACGTACCATCTGGACTGTGTCAACCCGCCCCTGAAGGAGGTTCCCGACCACGACTGGCAGTGTGAGATCTGTCGCAAACACCAGGTATGCTGCTGCCCACTCAGTGGTCAGGAATGGGCTCATGGTAGAGGTGTAGTAATTGTTATGTTGTAGCTGTATTTATTGTTGGTATACATACATATATATGCATATATATATATATATATATATATATATATATATATATATATATATATATATGTGTGTGTGTGTTTGTGTGTGTGTGTGTGTGTGTGCGTGCGTGCGTGCGTACGCGCGTGTGTGTGTCATTGTTATTGTGCTGACTGCTTCCACATGTCAGTTATTTGTCCTGTTTACAGGTTAGAGGAGTAGGTAATTGTCCCAGATTTCCAAGATATATTCCTGCTTCCACCTTTGTATTGCTGGCTGTCAGCAGCTTGCAAGTGTTACATTCTGCGTGCCCTCTGCCAGCATGCCCTGTCGCGGCGGGCCCCCAGCTTCTCACGTGCGGCCTGTGTCGGCAGGTGAAGGGCGTCACTGACTGCGTGTCGGACATGGAGCGGAACGGCGCCATGTCGCGCCAGGAGGTGCTCGGCTACGACCGGCACGGACGCCGGTACTGGTTCCTCTGTCGACGCCTCTTCATGTGAGTGACTGCCGACGCGTCGGCCGCGGCGCCGTGCTCGCTGTCGCAGATGTGGCTGTGCTGGGGATTTTGGCGATGTGACGATAGTGCACCCTAGTGAGAGTGGGGGGGGGGGGGGGGAGGGGCGACTGGGGAATGTGCCGTATGCAGACCCCGTGACCTCTCCGATAGTGAGAGTCCGGACAGCCCGGAGTCGGTGGTGCACTCTGACCCCGTGACCTCTCCGGCAGTGAGAGCCCAGACAGCCCGGAGTCGGTGGTGTACTACTCGACGCCGGCTCAGTACGCGGAGCTGGTGTCCCGCATGGACCGCGCCGACCTCGAGGACGCGCTGTGCATGTCGCTGCAGGAGCTGCACTACGACATCCAGCGTCAGATGGCGCTCACCGAGGAGATGACGGAGCAGCGGCTGCGCGCCGGCGCCATCAGCTACCTGCAGCAGAACACCGGTCAGTTGGGGCACGCCCCGCATCCGCCGCACACCTCGCACCCGCCGCACCTGCCGCACCCGCCGCACCCGCCGCACCGGCACAGCACGGTGTCACGACCGCTAGTCCACACCCGGGACATCCGGAACAGCAGGGCTGCGAAGAATTACCTGGCTTTTGTGGTGCTGTTTGTTTCGTTTCGGACGATGAATGTACTGTAGTCCCTAATCGAGGTTTCTGTGACTACCTGCTTATGATGATGTACGCATTGGTTATCCCCGCCCAAAATCATTCACTCGCTCTCGGCTCTTCATCGCCGCGGCCGTGCGTGTGTGTGTGTGTGGTTGGTCCAGTTGGTGCTGGTGTCCGTGTCTGGCTGGGAGACGCGTGTCTCAGCCGTGCGGTCGGCTCCGGGCGGCGGCGACGGCCTTCCCGCTCACCGCCGGTGCTGACGCCGTCCCGCCCCGCCCGCCGCAGACCGCATCAAGGGGGCCGAGGCGCAGCGGCGTCAGCAGGCGGCCGACGGCACGCAGCAGCAGGCGGCGGCCGACGGTGGCGAGCGGCCGGCCGACGCGGAGACCGGTACGGCGGCGGGACAGGTCACGGGGCACGGGGCATGGGGCACTGGTCAGGGTCACTGGTCGTGGGTCATTGGTCAGGGTCACCAGTCACTGGTCATTGGTCACTGGTCATGGTCACCAGTCACTGGTCACTGGCCATTGGTCACTGATCGTGGTCACCAGTCACTGGTCATTGGTCGTGGTCACCAGTCGCCAGTCACCGTCACTGGTCACTGGTCACTGGTCACTGATCACGGGTCACCATTCACCAGTCACTGGTCACCAGTGACCGAACGGATCGGCCGTGGCCCGGCTGGGCCGGTACGGCTCGCAAACAGCAGCTGTGTGCCTCTGACGGCTATCACTGGCATGGTTCACCATATATGGGGCAATTGTTAAGTTATGTCATCTGCGTGACCTTCCGCCACGAGGTCACTTCCTTGATTGGGAAGATGGGTACCTGTGACAGCTGTTGCCAGAATAGTGTGTCATAAATCCGACATTTGTTTAAGGTCTTCTATCCTTTTGTGGCATTCCGTTGCCATAAGACCAATGAAATGATGCCGAAATGACATGAAAGAATGTCATATACCAACATCATCAGGTGTTCTCTGTGTTCCATAGTAGTATGTAATAATGTTGTCCATAAACCAGAACTGTCAGTTGAGAGAGGTGGTTTTATGTTTGCATTTTTATATCGGGAATGTGCTTACAGGACTATCTCGGGATATTGGCGATGTTGCGTTAATATCATGTTTTCGACAAAGTTTATTTTCGGTACTTGTCAGCAAAGCTGCCCTATTTGGCCACTACCCTGTCTACAGCATTGTTGACTCGCGCCAGCCATGTGCGTGCGTGCGTGTGTGTGTGTGCGTTGCGCACCTGGCTGAGTGACGCCGTGACGGTCGCCAGGTGACGCGGAGCGGGACCCGGCGACCGGCGGCGGCGGAGACGGCGACGCGGTCAGCCCGGCGGCGGCGGCGACGGCGGCGTCCGAGCCGGCCGGACCGGCCGACGTGACGCCGAGCGGCGACGCCGACACCGCCGCCGACGACGCGGACGACCAGCAGCCGGCGGCCAGCAAGCACAAGCAGACGGGCGTGGTGACCCGGTCAGTGGGAGGGGAGGCCGGGCCGGCCGCTCCATGCCGCCTCCGTCGTAGGGAGGGGGGGGGGGGGGGGGGCGCTTTCGGCAGTCTGGCCTCCGCCGGAGCGAGGTTGGTGCTTAGGTGGTGTGTAGAGCTCGCCCTGTTTGTGGTCTGGCGGGGTGGTTTGATGTCTGAACGCTGGCGTCGTCCTGCCCGTCTGCCGGATTTGTGCCAGGACGGTCCTGGAGGGCATGCCTGCTGTGCCCACCCCCGCCTCCGCTCCGCGGGTGGGGTGGGTTCCGGCAGCGCCGCCGGCGGGTGGTCCTTGCCGGCCGGCGACTGCTGACCTGGCCGGCCTGTGCTGCAGGACGAAGTCTGGCGTGCTGGCTCCGAAGACGGCCGCCAAGACGAGCGACGACAGCGACGAGGAGGATGTCAAACCGAGTGAGTCACCGCCGCCGCTCGGCGAGGATCGATCGGGCGCTCGACGACCCCCGCGGTCACTTAGGGGAATGCCTGGCCTGTGGGTGATTTGAGGGTAATGATGATGATGCTGATGACGACGATGACGATGATGACCGGCACGCTGACCAGGGATCATTCGGATTTGGCAATGGATGATGATTGGGCTCATATCTGGGAGCAAATGGATCTCGCTGAGGTGCATTGATGGTCATTCAGACGGAGCGTCATGATAATTTTTTCGAGGCACGCTGACGTCTGATGGCTAGTTGCAGCGCACTGATAACCAGCGGCCACATGGGGCTTGCCGTGTTCAGTGGGGACCGTTGGAGTCTTAGCAGCGCTGGCAGCCGCGTCCCCTGTAGACAACTGACGTGTCGTCTGATTAGGCGCCTCGCCGTGTCATGTGTGTCATCGCAATGTCGCGATTCACACGCCATATCGCGCTGGGGCGCCGCGCAACGCCGCCAGACGTCCGGCCAGGGTCGGGTGAAAGGTACCGGGGCGTGTGGGGACACGCGAGCCCCCTCAGCGGAGGTGTTGCGGAACTGACCGAGCTGGGTCAGCCCTTGAGATCGGCAACTGCAGTCAAATGCCGGTGGTGATTACGGTCCCTGGGTGGAGCTGCCGAAATGACGTGCCGACTTGGGCGGTTGGATCTGGGACTGGGCGGCGCCGCACCGCCGCGCGCCACGTCGTCGGGCCGCTGACCGGGGCCGGCCCGCCCCTCCGTCCGCGCGCAGGCGGCGTGTTCCGGCTGGGCGACGAGACGGACCGGACGTACCAGCGCTACGAGAACCAGTACACCTCCAACCCGCTGGCGCTCAACCGGTTCCAGCTGGCCGAGGACAAGGACAAGCGGCGCCACATGAGTCACAAGTTCTCGCTGACGCAGGCCTCCGAGTTCGAGTGGAAGGGCGCCGAGACTGGTGAGGGCAGGGGCGGTCCGCCGACGGAGGCTGGCGCGGGGCTCCGGCGGCGGCGGCGGCGGTGGTGGCACCCGGCCGCGCCGATGGCGCCGTTGACGTTTTTGTAAGCGCATGGTTTTGACTGGTGTTCGTCTGCCTGCTCCGCTCGTTTTTGTGGCCAGGGGGATGAGGCCGGCGCCGGTGTGTCGGTCTCCACATTCACACCTGTTCTCCCACGTTGCGTGTGACTATGTTCCACCGGCCTGCCGTCCCGGGGCCGGCCAGGAGACCACGCCCGAGTCTGAGCCGACGCGTCCTCCCCGCTGCGGCAGGCACGCGTCAGCAGCTGAAGCAGACGCTGAAGCAGACGCTACAGGAGCTGGTGAGCCGGCTGCCGCAGGCGCTGATGCACCCGTCGTGGCCGCAGCTGCGGCGCGCCTGGAACTCGGCCGTGGCCGGCTCGTCGCGGCCGCAGGACTTCGCGCGCGCGCTGACCGTCATCAGCGCGCTGATCAAGCCGCGCCTGCTCTGCACCGTCTGGCCCGACTCGCTGAGTGAGTCCCGGCCCGTCGTCGCCGCTCGTGGGCGGAGCTGGCCTCCAGAGGGGCAGTGGCCTGCTGCTTGGGGCTGCTGCTGTCGGCTGGTCGTGCGTAAAAAGACGCCTTTGGCTGTTGGCACTGGGATGGCAGCCCTGTGTGGAAAGTCGAGCGATGTCCGTTGCCAGCGGCATGGGGTTCAACTGGCCGCCGAGCGTACAGTGCTACCGTGAGCGTACCGTGAGCGTACCGTGTGTGGCCGCCGAGCGCGCCGAATCAGCGGTGTGTTCGGTGGAGGGACGGTGGGTCGTCGGACTGTGCGGCTGTGTGGAGGAGGGACGGTGGGTCGTCGGACTGTGTGGCTGTGTGGAGGAGGGACGGTGGGTGGTGGTGAACGGTGGTGGACGGTGGAGGGACGGTGGGTCGTCGGGCTGCTGGGGCCGTGTGCAGCTCTGCGGTGTCCGGCTCCGTCGGCGCCGCTCGCGCTGGCCGGCGCCGTCTCCGGCCGTCACGCGCGCCCTGACTCCGCCGCCGCGGCCCGCAGGCCACGTGGACGTGCAGCGCATCACCGTGTCCGAGAGGGAGGAGCGCAAAAAGGCGGAGAAGCGCGAGAAGCGGGAACGCGACGAGGAGGAGCTGGTGGCGCTGCGCATCCCGTTCGTCAAGTACAATCTCAGCAAGGTCAAACACCAGGTACGGCTCATCCGCCGCTGCGGTCATTCGGGGCTGTGATGACCCTCTATACAGATCTGACTGTCAGAACCGTCAGAATCATCAGCTGGCACGGCGTCGGCGTTAACCACCACGTTTGGGAAACCGGAGGTACGGGGTTCGCTTCCCCGCGGCGCCCGCCCTTCCTGCCAGAGTGAGAGGCAGGCGACGCCATATAGCCTCAGCAGCTGAGTGCGTCATAAAGCCCCAATGACACACACACACACACACACACACATGGCACGGCGTCGGAATCCCACAGTGAGAATGTCGGCACGTTGGACGCGCGTCCAGCGCGATGGTGTTGTTGCGTGTCGGGCCGACGGTCGCGGCCGTGCGGCGCCGGCCGGGCGCGGTCGTGGCGCGCGTGTGACGCGGCGCGGTGCGTGTCGGCCAGGTGTGGAAACAGCGCGGCGAGGAGTACCGCATCCACGGCCAGACGGGCTGGCTCTGGCTGAGCAGCACGCGCCGGTACCGGCCGGCGCCGGCCGGCCAGCGCGGCCACGCCGCCGGGCCGCACCGGCTCCACCTGCAGCTGGCCGGTGAGTGGCGCTCCGGCGTGTGCAACTCTACGCATAGAAGCACGCGCACGCGTACACGCGCAGGTGCAGTGCATGTGCACGCGCACAGCAGCCGAGCTGACGCGACGCAGGGAGACGATGAATGGGGTCGATGACATCGTGAGCAGAGACGATGCTGCGCTAGTGTGCGCACGAAAAAATGGGAGGGTAGACGAGAGAGGGGTCATGTGGAGGTCCTTGGCGGAGTTTCGTGAGGACGTAGAGAGCGGTCAGCAGTGTGGGGAGTCGATCTGCGGGGCGAGCGGCGCGGCCTGACGTGGGGGACCAGCGCAAGGCCGTGCCGACGGCGGCCCGTCCTGCGGGGGTGGCGCGCCGCCTGTGACCGAACGGCGCGCGCCTCTGTGCCGCCAGCGTCCGAGAGCCGTCCGGCGCGCTCGGTGTGGCTGCTGGCGGCCCAGCACCGCCAGCAGCTGGAGCGCCAGGCGGCCGACGGCGGCCCGGCCGACACGCTGCTCACCGTCCGGCTCCGGCCTGGCACCACCGGTACGTGAGGCCCGGCTCCGGTCTCAGTCCCGGTCCCGGTCCCTGTCCCGGTCCCGGTCCCGGTCCCGGTCCCGGTCCCGGTCCCGGTCTGTCTGGTTGTGCCCGCCTGGCTCGCTTTTGCTGAGGCCTCGGGGCTAGGAACTGCGTCAGTCGGCTTGCAGAATTTTTCGCTGTATTCGTGTTGTGCATTGTATCATTGTGCGTGGTGTACGTGTTATTGTTTGTTGGTCGGGGCCGAGCAATCCTTGTTATGTGTGGCGAGCTGTGGCGTTCAACAGCTCTACAGTAGTTGTGTACAGCTTGGGCCCGGCCGCTCCGTCGTCCGCTGAAACAGCTGTCATCAGCTGACCGCTGGCCCGGCTGGCTGGCGAGCGCCCGCCGTCTCTGTACGCGTTCGCCGGCGTGCAGCGTACAGCCAGCCAGCGTCGGCGTCCCTGCCAACGGCGTCCTGTTGCCGTCCGCCCACGGCTGGGTGTGCGCGGCGGCGCCTGACGCGGTGTGGACGGCGTCGCCAGAGGTGCAGACGGACCCGGACGGCCCGGCGGAGGTGGCGCCGCTGCAGCCGGTCCGGCTGCAGGAGCTGATGACGGACGGCCTGCTGGACGTGTCGGCGGGGCTGCGGCAGACCTGCCGGCTCCAGTACCCCAGGTGTGTACACCGCCCCCGCGGCGCCGGGGGGGGGGGGGACCGAGGTCGGCGGCTGGGGTACCGGCGGGGCTGAATGAGTTCCTATGACCCCGTCTGTCACGCGGTGGCGCTGACGTACGGCACGACCGGCCGACACCTCCCACCGGTCTCGCGGCAGCTGGCGCTGACCGTCGCGGAGTGCGTGCTATACGTGGATGCTAGTGGCGCCGCCTCGGTCTGGTGCTGTCTGCCGTGCTCCTTCGCGTCGTACGTGGATCGGACTCCATCTGTGTGTCACCTGTCTGTCTGGCCGGGGCGTGACCGCGCCGGCGGGGCTGGTCGGCGCCGCCGTGTGAGCGGGGTGAGACCGGGCAGCCGCGGGTCGGCTGATCTGTATGCGCACGTGTGCGTGTGTGTTGGGCAGGGCTGCGAAGCCGGCCCACCTGGACAAGCTGCTGGCCTGGCGGGAGGAGCTGGAGCGGCGCGAGCGCGGCGACACCAGCGGCTCGGCGGCGGACACGGACTCGGCTCAGGTGGGTCTGCCCGTCCGCCGACACGGCGGCGGCTCGGGTACGGGTGGCGTGGTCACGGCTCTCGCCGGTTTTCGAATTTGATGGATGGCTTGCGTCGTAAAGATACTCAGATGTCACATGTTTCCAGCCAGTGCTGAGTTCGCTTATCAAGCGGGGAGGCTAAAGTTGGATGTCCTGACCCGCCGAGGTCGTGTCCAGCTCTGTCTGTCGGACGGACTCCCCGCTGTATGAGACTGAGCCGCTGTTGACTGTTCTCCCCGCTGTGTGCCGTCGCTGACGGGTACTGTCCCCGCTGTGTACCGCCGCTGACGGGACCTGTCCTCCCCGCCGTGTGCCGCCGCTGACGGGTTCTGCCCTCCCCGCTCTATGAGATTGTGTCGCCGCTGACGGGACCTGTCCTCCCCGCTGTGTGCCGCCGCTGACGGGTCCTGTCCTCCCCGCTGTGTGCCGCCGCTGACGGGTACTGTCCTCCCCGCTGTGTGCCGCCGCTGGCGGGTACTGTCCTCCCCGCTGTGTGCCGCTGCTGACGGGTCCCGCCCTCCCCGCCGCAGGTGGACGGCCGGCGGTCGCCGTCGGCCTCTACCGCGCTGGCGGCGGCTGAGGCGCGCTTGGCTCTGCTGACGGCGCACCCCTGCTACAGCCGCGCCTGCCGCGCCGGCGCCCCCTGCTACGCGCCCTCCTGCAGACAGGCGGTACGTGCTGACGCGCCGGCCGTCGGGGTCGAGGCCGTCCCTGTGGCCGGGTCAGGAGCTGGGAATGGGGAGACCGGGGATGCCGCTGCAGGGGAGGGTTAGCCGCGGCCGGGCACTGGGAGTTCACGAGCATTAGGGGGGCGCTGCCATTTTTTACCACTTTTATTGCACGCTGACCTGGAGATAACCCCGTGCGGCAGAAAACAACGGCGTTGTTGGGGCACTCGCCGGCCTTGTCCTAAATAGATCAACATCCGGCATGCATCCCCCATCCCCGCTCGTACCCCGCCTCTCGCGCCGTCTGGTGCAAGGTGTCCAGTGCATACCAAACGGGCGAACAGGCATTACTAACACGCCCCAGCCGTCTCCGAGCGGTCACCAGCGGTGGTGAGATGCGCAATCAGGCAACGCCGGGCGGGCGCGTCCCGGCGGCGCCGCAGCCCCGTCCACAGGCGTCGGCGCCGTCTGCGGGGGTCGCCCTCACCTCAGCCCGGGCGAGGGACTGGTGATGTCGTGTGAGCGTGCGCTGACTCCCGCCTGTGGGGGCCGACAGGCGGCGCTGCGGCTGGAGGTGGCCCGGCTCCGGGAGGCGCCGGTCCGCCGTCAAGGAGGAGAACGAGGAGAAGCCCGAGGACGGCGGCGACAGGGAGGACAGGATGGACGACTCCGAGGACAAGGCGGACGTCAAGGAAGAGAAGATGGACGTGGACAAGGTGGGAGGGCCGGCGCTGAACGGCTGGGCGGGGTACGGGTCAAGCCAGGCCGTGATCGGCTGTTGCGATCCGGTCGATCGGGTGTCGAGATGGGCCGGATTGACAACGCAGCGACGGCAGTAACGGTCGCATGCAGTTAACGTCCGCGTGGTCAAGCTGCCCCGGGAAACATCATGTCTTGTATGGAGGAAAATAGCAGAATACGCGTAATTCAGGATGAACTGGGTAGACCTGTATTGGTGTTGAGTAGACAAAAACCCAGTTGTCCTTTCAAAATGCAAAAAGAAAAAAAACAGCTGTGATAAATAAGTGTGGAAATAGGGCTTGACGGGCTGCATGAAAGTGTCATGCTGCAGGCATGTTGTGTTGGTGTCTGAGGTCTGTACCGCGTCGCGCCTGCGGACCGCCGTGTTCCCCGCCGCCGTTCGCGAGTCGGCCGTGCCCGGTCCGTCACCGGCGTGTGCCGCCGGCAGGACGTCGCCGTGAAGGAGGAGCCGGACGAGACCAAGCCGCCGGCGCAGCCCCGGTTCGCCGGCCTCTCCACGGAGGAGCCCGTCCGGCTGGTGCTGGTGAAGCCGGTGGTGAAGCGCAACTACGTCCGGTGAGCGTCGACGGCCGCGGCGCGTGTGGCAGCACGGACGGGGGCCGGCCGACGGCGCTGGCATTGCCAGTATGCCTGTGTGTGCGGCTGTGCGTGTGTGTTACCGAAAGGGAGGGGGCGGCTGACCGTCTGTATCCGTGTGTGTGTCGCGAGGGGGGGGGGGACAACTGGCATGTCTGTATCCTCATATGCGTGTGTGCGTTTGGGGGAGATAGCCGTCGTGCATGTCAATATGTGATTGAGAGTAACCTCCGTCGCCCGGGTAGCGGCTGCTGAGACGCAGGCCACCGCTGTCCCCTCCCTCCTGACCCGGGCGCACCGCCGTCGCCGCCGCCGCCGCAGGTACCCGCTGTTCAGTCAAGTTCCGCGCCAGCGGCCGCTGGAGCATGCTGGTGCTGCCCACCTGGGAGCTGCGGCAGCTGGCCAGGAAGCGCGGCCACAAGCCCGTCGACGGCTTCAACTACGCCGCCAAGGTATGCTCCGGTCACGTCCCGCCGGACGGCCAGCCCTCCGAACTGGCTGTCCCCAGCAGGTTACTCATTGGCCATGACAGCAGCTTCGGGTTGGTGTGGAATGATGACACTGCTCTTGATCATCTCTCCGCCGTTAATAAGGAAACACCGTTGTATCCTTTTCGTCTCAGCCAGCCGCGTGCAGCCGCGTCTGCCTGTGTGGCCCTGTGCCAGCGTGAGGCCTGGTGCGGCCGGCTGCTGGTGACCCGTGTGGCAGGGTTTGGCCGGCCGTCGGTGACCCGTGTGGCCGGGTGTGGCCGGCCGCCGGTGGCCCGTGTGGCCGGGTGTGGCCGGCAGTTCGTGACCATGTGTGGTGTGCCGTCCGTCCGCAGAACAACAGCCAGGTGTGGCCGTACCCGTGTCCGCGCGCCTCCCTGCGCACCGGCTGGCTGTACCGCACGTGTCGCGTGCGCAGCCTGCACGCGGCCGGCCTCCAGCTGCGCATCCTCTGGGCGTGCGTGCGCTGGGACGACATCGACGTGAGTGAGCCGCCGGCGCCGGCCGGTGGAGACGTGCCGGGGCGACCGCGGCTGTTGCGCTGCAGCTCTCGGAGCTGGGGGAGGGGAGGGTGGGAAGTAACACGGTGGCCATGCAGTGCTGGATCGGCGTGTCCGCGGGAGGCCCGCGTGGCCTCAGGCCCGGACACGACCGTGTGCTATGTATACCATGTTAAAGCTGTGACGTGTGTGTGGTGCGACCGAGGTGTGCTGGGTCGGGCCATTTGTCGACGCTTGCAGCAGCTGCGGCTGTAAGCGCCGTCAGCGCTGGCGGAGGCCTGGTCCGCAAGGTGTCGCCCCTGGCGTGGCGGGGATCGGTGAGGTGTCGGCTCTGCTCCACGCCCGGCTCGCCCCCCCCCCCCCCCCCCCTGCTGGTCAGCTCGGCGCCGGCGTGTGACTGATGACCCCTCTCTCCTGTCCGCCCGCCAGTCTCGGCCGCAGCAAGTGGGGCCGGGCGAGTTTCAGATCACCACCGACACGGGTATGGTGCGCTCGCTGGTGCTGCGGCATCGGGACGAGGGGCGCTTCCGCGAGCGGACCGTCTACTACCGCCGGCGCGTCACCATCCTCTTCGACAACCCCGTCATCGTGGAGAAAGGTGAGCGCCGTCGGCCGCGCGCTGGGCCGGCGCCGTCCCCGCCGACGGCCGGGGCGCGCCGGAAGGCCTCGGTCTGGTCTCCCTGCAATCGCCTCGCTGGGGTACCTGTAGCGGTTAAGCCGCGCGACTGGAAAGCCGCAGGGACGGGTTTCGGCTCCCCGCGGTGCCCGCCCTTCCGGGCAGGTTGAAAGGCAGGCGACGGCATGCAGGCTTGCAGCTGAGTGCGGTCAAAGCCCCAGTGACATGGAATCGCCTCACCAGGGATATGGAGCAGCGGAGTGGGATCTGGTGTAGTATACCGGGCTGTCAGTCTTCAATGTCTGTGCGTTGACAGTCAGCAGGTACTATTCACCTGTCTTGACAGAAGCTTTTTCCGAGTCTTTACTGGGATAATCCGCTGTCTCGCTGGCTACTGGATACCTCCCGTCTTCTAAGCGCTTTGTTTTTGTGAGACCCGACCAGCGGCCGCCGGGAGCCGCGGTCTGGCACGCTGTGTGTGCGTGGGACCGGCCAGGCGGCGCGCCGACCGGCGGCCGCCGGGGGCCGTAGTCTGACCCTCCGTATACTGCGGGACCGGCCAGACGGCGCGCCGACCGACGGCCTGACCCGCTGACGCCGGTCGCGCTCCCGCAGAGTACACGTCGTCAGCGCGCAGCGGCCTGCGCAAGCGGCGGCGCGTCATCGAGTCGTCGGAGAACCCGTCCAGTGACGTCACCGAGGAGTGGGTGCCCGAGGAGGCGCTCGAGATCTTCGAGATCAAGTACTACCACGAGAAGTAGGTGACGCCGGCTGAGCGGCCCGCGCTGTGTGTCGAGGCTGCGCCGGGCCGCAGGCCGATGGGGTCTGACAGGGATCCGGTGCTGCCCTGCGGTGTTTGTCGTTCCTCCGCCGCTGCTGACGAGCTGGGCTCTCTCATGGCCCGTGTGCTCGAGGGGGTGGGGGGGGGGGGGGGGGGGGGGAGGAAGGCGGTGGGCTGTACTCAGCTGGTGTCGTTTGGTCAGAAGTGTAGTGGCGTGGGTCAGGGAACGGACGGCCGAGGCGCAGCCCTGGAGGTCAGGTCGTCAGGCTCCGTGCCGAACGTGAGGTGGTTGAGCGTGTTGGCTCTCCGAGAGGCGAGCTGCGGCCGGTGCGTCGCCTGACGCCCGCCGCCGCCGCCAGGGTGGAGCGGCTGCGTCAGGAGCGGCAGCAGGCGCTGCTGCAGCGGCGCGCCACCGGCCTGCAGGCGCCCAGCCGGTCCGGCTCGCCGGCCGGGCCCGCCAGTCCGGCCGCCAAGCTGAAGCCGGCCGCCGCCGCCGCCGGCGCCACCCAGCTCAAGGCCAGGCTGGACGAGGCCGTCCGCCAGAGCCGCACTCTCGGCAAGGGTGCGTGCGGGGACCGGGGGTCGGCTGGCGGGGCGGCGCGCCAGCCTGTCGCCAGCTCGCTCGCTTCGTTTCCGGCATGCGCGTTTTCGGTGCCCGCATCAGCTCTGTCGGTGAAAGGAAGAAAGGCCTAAGTGCTATTTCACCTAATGTCGCTTACGCCTTTTGGCCTTGGAACGGCAGAGTTGTTACAGATAAGAAGCTCTTCTCAGCTTACGATTGCATTGATTTTCCCTATGTTTTGAAAGTCGCGTAAGCTAGTGTGTTGTTTCGCGTTAGCCCTCTGTATGCTGTCTGTCTGCCTCTGCCTGCCGCGTCTGCTGCCGGGGCCGGCCGCCTGGCTGGGGCCGTCTGCAGCGTCCTCTCCGCCGTTGGCAGGCACCAAGTTCATGGTGAAGCCGTCCAACGCGTCGACGGCGGGCGCGGTCAGTCCCGGGACGCCGCAGCGCACGTACGGAGCCATGCGCAAGATCATCACCAAGGACGGCAAGATTATCGGTGAGCGGTTGGGGCCAACCGGCCGGCGGGAGCGGCCGGCGCGGAGGATCGCAGATCACAACAGCAGGGTGTCGCTCGCGGGTGCGGGACCAGAGTGGGCCTGCGCGGGGGGCGCGGCGGGAAGCTGGCACAATGTGCTCGGAGGCGGGTGATGGCTCGGAGACGCAGGCCACTGATGACGCGGAGGCTGAGACCCGGCCCGCGCGGCCGACGCTCGTTTACCGTGCGGAGCGATCGGGACTGTTATCGGGGTTACGAGGATGCGTCATGGACTGAACGGCGAAACTGGTCCTAGAAAGGCCTGTAATGTTGCCTTGGCTTCAGATGTCGCGTTTTGTTTGTGACGAGCCCTGTCCGGCGCCGGCCCGGTCATGGGTCCTTGTGCGCGCCGGTGACGCGCGCGCCGCGTCGACAGCGATCCAGTCCGCGCCGTCGGGGGGCGTGGCGCCCGCCGGCACCGTCACCGTCGGCACGGGCTCGCCGCGTGCGACGCAGCCCACCCTGGCGCCGGCGCCCAGCCCGGCCGTCGCCGCCGCCGCTGCCGCCGCCAACACCGCACAGTCGCCGGCCGCCAAACCCAATCAGATTCAGATCATCAAGCTGCCGGACGGCAAGCTGCAGGTTAAGGGCCTCAAGCCAGGTGAGCGGGCCGGGGCGGTGGTTGGTTCTGCTGGGCGTGGGAGCTGCAGCTGGCGGCCAGGCCAGACCGGCGGCGGCTGTCAACTAGCGACGGCCACCGTTGCGCGCAGGGCGCTCTGATGGCGGTAGCTATGTACTCTGTGCCGATTGTGATGCAACTTGTTGATGCAAGTCAGGTGGGCATATTTGAAGATCAGTAGTGCCCCGCACTCTACCACATTCTTGTCAATGGTTTGATGTGCCCTCCGCATCCAGACGATTATTGGTAAAACAAAAAATAGCACGTCAGGGGTCTGTGCTAAATCGGTGACCTGTGGTGTCCGTCCCACACAGAGGCCGACCTCTATACCGCCGTCCAGCCAGCGGCTGTGTCCGCCGCCGCCAGACCCCCTGACCCTGCCGCCGTCTGACCCCCTGACCCCGCCGCCGTCTGACCCCCTTGACCCCGTCGCCGCCGACAGGTCAGCAGCTGGTGCAGCTGCCGAGCGGCCAGCTGCAGCTGGTGTCTGGCGGCACGGCCAAGTCGCTGCAGGCCGTCTCCAAGCAGACGCCAGGTGAGCGAGCCAGCGCCGGACCGGACCGGACCGGTCCGTACCTACCGATTACAGTGCCGGCGGCCCCGGAGCCACGATGGTAATGGTGACATGCAGCAGTTGCGTTTCAGGGAACTCCACCGTGCTCGTCTGTCTGTCCGTGTTGCAGTTGTCCGCGTTTATTGCCACGCGCTGAACTTGAGACGTGGACGTGAGGCTGCTACATCACTTTGCTGAAGTTCCGTGTAATTACGTTTTACGGTTGGGGCGCAGGTGCACAGTTTCGGCGTCGCCTCGCCGGCACGTCGAGACTGAGAGTGCGCCGGCCGGCGCCGGCTCGCCCGCGAGCTGCAGCCGTGTGAGACGCTCGCTCTGTTGCAGTGGCGTCCACGCCGCCGCCGGCCAAGGTGCGCCTGGTGGCGCCGGCCGGCAGTCCGGGGGCCGCTCCGGCCGCTCCAGCCGCCGCCCCGGCCGCCGCCCCGCCGCTGCAGGTCAGTCCGGGCACCGGACGCTGCCGGGGGCTGCAGGTCAGGCCCGTGGGCTGCGCTGGCCGCGGCTGACCGCGGCTGGCCGGCGGCCTGCTCTGCAGCCGTGTGTGGTATTGATCTGTGTGTCGCGGCGACCCCGGCCGGCGGTCCGCCGGCTCTTATCGCAGATTTGAGTCCGTAGGGTCTCGCCTGCTGTTGTAATATGATCGGCTTTGTCTGAGCCCCGCGGCCGGATCTGCTTCCAGAGTCTTCCATGGATGCGGTACGTTTACGCGTTTCACTAGTTGGTGGGCTCGGGGTTTGAAGCTGTCCACTGCGAGATAAGTGAACCGATCGCCACGCATTCCAGTGAGCAGATCGGCTACGTTATCCCCACAATCGATCCAAGCTCCACGTTACGGTCACCGCGTCAGCTGGGGCGTCGCTCGGTCTCCTGTGCGTCGGGCTCGTGCGGCCAGGCGTGAGCTGAGTCCCGGTGTGTGTGCGTGTGCGTGTGTGCGGGGCCGGAGCGGGGCCGGGCCGCCCGCTGAGCCGGCCGCCCTCTAACGCCAGGAGGCGTCGCCGCCGACCGGGCAGCTGCGCGTGGTGCAGAAGATGGTGACGCAGGTGGTGGACCTGGCCGGCCTCACCAAGCAGCAGGTGGTCGGCTGGCAGCAGAAGATCAACGAGGGGAAGGCCAAGCTGGCGCTGGTGAACGGCAGACGGGTGAGCGGCGGACGGGGCGGGGCGGCGAGCGGAGTCCCTCGCGGTGGCGTGGTGTAGCGGGGGGCGGGCGTCGGTGTCACCAGCTCGCTGGACCGTCAGAGGAGACGTGTGTGCTGCAGCACAGACGCGGCGGTAGAGCGCTGAGTCATGTTTACTTCGGTTATCTGAGAGGTTTGTTGTGAGGCATCCTTCAGCGCAGTTTATGGTGGCGTCTTGCGGCGGCCTGATGGCACCGAGACCGGGCTGTGCCTGCGAGCAGGCTCCAGCCGTCAGCTGTGGCGATGGTGGGGCGCGGTGGCCGACACGAGGGCGAACCCGGCGCGTCTGGCGCCGGTCGCCGGGCGGCTCTCCCGTGACCGCGGTCCACCCGGCAGGTGATCCTGCACAACGTGCTGGTGAACCAGTCGGTGAGCGCGGCGGCCGAGCCGGCGCCGGCCGCCGCCGCCGCCACCACTCCCGTCAAGTCGGAGCAGCACGAGTCGGCCGACGAGGACGACCCGGCGCCGCAACCGCCACAACCGCCGCCGTCGACCGACGTGAAGCGAGAGTCGGACGAGCAGCCGCCGGTCGCCGCTGCAGCCGACGCCGACGCCGCCGCCGCTGCCGCCGACGCCGCGCCGGCGGCGGCCGACGTCAAGACCGAGGTAGGCGCGCGCCGTCGCCCGGGCGCTGGCCCGGCGCCGCCCGCCCATGTGTCCGCTGCGGAGGTGCGAGTGTGGGCGTGCTCTGTGCGCGGCGAGGTGTGAAGGCCGGTGGCCAGGAGCAGCCGGAGATCTCGCTGTCGGCGCGGACACCCGGCGTGCAGTGGGAATGGGCATTGCGAGCTGACCTTGTGTCGGGGGTGACATGAACGCTGCCGGCGCTGTGACCCGCCGCACCGCCCGACCATCGCGCCGTCTCCGCCGATGCCAGCTGTCGGCGGCAGTGGTCGCCCTCGCCGCCGCCTCCCGCGGCAGCCGGCGGCGCCGCGCGTGCCCAGCTCCGGCGCAGGCGCCGGTGGAGGACGGACGCTGACCCGCGCGCGCGGCCGTGTTTCAGCTGGCGCCGGGTCGTCGCATCACGGCCACGGCCAACATCGTGCAGACGGTGGCGGGGCCGCGCGTGGTCATCCAGGGCGTGCCCACGCAGGGCCTGTCGCAGTCGCAGCTGCACAACCTGCAGCAGCAGGTCAAGGCTGAGCTTGCCAAAGGTCAGCGGTTGGAGGAGCGGCCGCGCGCCGCCGGGCAGCGGCGCGGGCCGGCTCGCTCTGGAGGGGTGACCACCGTCGCCGCCGTCAGCAGGCGGGCCGTGGGGGCTAAATACGCGGCGGGCCCGCGGTGGATGTGAGAGTGTTTGGCGTACGACGTGCGAGGTTGCGAGGTGTGGGCGACGTCGGCACGAGACGGCGTCTCCCTTGAATTCGCCAGTCGATTTGTGATCGGGTGCAGGACATTTTGGACCGCACGCACAGTGTTGCCGCCGAGACTTTCCAGCGCTGGCGCCGGTCACGTGAGGTCGCGTGCCCTGTGTGACCATTTGACCCTTTGACGTGAGGTCGCGTGCCCTCTGTGACCCTGTGCCGCGCGTGGGCAGGTCCCATGCTGACCGGCCTGCGGGACATCCACTTGACGGTGCCGGCTGACGTGCCGGAACCGGCAACGGCGCCGGCGCCGGCCGCGCCGCCGGCCGCCGCCGCTCCCGCCGCCGCGCAGAGTCTGCTCACCACTCAGGTTCGTGATCGTCGCCGCCTCCCGTCAGCGCGCGGCCGCACGCACGGCCCCGCCGGTGGGAAAGGTATACAAGGGATGGAGATGCTCTGCTCAGAGCCGTCATCATCAAGTGTGTTTGATTGATGTTCAGTCTTGATCCAACCTGACGGCCATAATGGCCGTCAGGTTCACATGGACACGTAATGGCCGTTCACAATTATTGTGAACGGATTTCTCGGTTTTGTTTATCAGACATGACAGATCGACTCATGTCCGAAATATCGTTGCATAGCACAGCTATGGCCAGCCGGTGGTGAGTGCCGTACGGCCGCGTGGCCGCCGCTGACCGTGCCTCTGTGCGCAGCGTCAAACGACCCTGCTGTCGCCTCGGCGCGTGTCGGAGCCGGGCGCGGCGGCGGCCGGCGCGCCCGACGAGCCGCCGTCGGCGCCGCTCCAGCAGGACTTCACCGTCACCCAGGAGTACATACAGCAGAGTGAGTGAGCGCGCGCCGCCGGCCGTCACCGCCACAGCGGAATGACCAACGGCCGGCCGCTGGTGTGACGTCTGCGCGTCCAGGAACGTGTAGGCGGCGTCTCCTCGGGGCGTAGTTTGTCGAGGCGTATTCCGCATGGTGGCAGGCGAATGCGATAAAATGACCCAGGGCACCGCGAGCCGCACTCGCTCAGCGTTCAGAGTTCTCTAGGTCGGCTGCTGCCGCTGCCGCTGTGGCGGCGCGGCCCGGCACCGTGACCCATCACGCGCGCAGTGGACGTGACGCGACCCCGCCGCCGACGCTCCGGCAGGCATCAACAACGCGCTCAACTCGGACAACCTGAAGCCGGAGATCGCCGAGAAGCTGCTGCAGCTCCGCAAGAAGCCGTCGGCCGGCGGCGACGGCGGCCCGGCCACGCCGCGGCCGGCCGCCGCCGCCCCGCGGCCGCCCGGCGCCCAGCCGCCCAAGAAGCGTGCCAAGACCGACCGGTGAGCGCGGGGCCGCGTGTCGGCGGCGCGGCGGAGGCACGGCCGTCCCGGCTCCGTGGGGCTCGGTCGTGGGACGCCCTATACGGCTGCCGTGCCGTGAGAGCTGTGGTGTATCGGTAGGCGGTCGCCCAGCGCGTGATGTGGGCAGTGAATGGAGTATCAGCCTCATTACTGCCACTGCGCATGAGAGGGTGAACGCAGGTCGCGCAGGCATGGTCGCCTGGTTTATCCCATTGAACTGGCCTTGGATGTATGTGTTGCTATGTGTTTCACATATTAGCAAACGTTTGAACGGAGTTGGCTCTCGTTGTCTAGCCAGATGGACACTGGCGAATCCCAGCGAAAGAGGAAGGGGGGAGGGATGCGCTCCCGCGCCGCGTGGTCAGGAGATCCGTCCCGTTCCGTGGTCATGGCGTGAGCGAGCCGCTGCTTGGCGCGTCCCGCCCCGCCCCGCCGGCCGGGCTGGGCGAGGGTCGCCGCTCTGCTTGTCCGCCGCCGGCCCCGCCCGTGCGCTGCGGCTCCAGCTGACCGCCGGCGCCGTCCGCGCAGGCCGCGCGTGCCCTCCGGCGGCCGCACCAAGCCGCGCTCCGAGAAGAAGAGCCTGCGGCCGTCGGCGCGCGTGCAGCAGCTGTCGCGCCGCAAGGAGCAGCTCAAGAAGGAGATCCTGCGCAAGCGGCTGCAGATGGAGAATCAGCTGCAGCTGGAGATCTCCAAGCAGGTGGCGGCGTACCGGCGCGCCGTGACCGAGCACCGCGCGCCGAAGGCGGCGGCGGCCGGGCGCCAGCGGCGGGACTCCTCGCCGCCGGTACGTGACTAGCGTGACGTAACGGGCCCGGCCCCGGCCGGCACCACGCTGAGAGCGAGAGGAGGCGGCGCGCACGCGGCGTCGCGGTGCCGGGAGGCTGGGGTATCACCGCTGTGAGTGGTGTGCGCCCCGTCCAGGCTCGGGTGCTCCAGACGCCGCACCGGTGACGTACCGGTCGAGGGCTAAGTCAGGGTGTGGGTGCGGGTGTTGTCGCCTGGCGCTTGCATCGAGATTCGTCTTGAGTTTAGCCGGTGACTTTGACCGGACCTGGTGCCAGAGCCTGGCAGTGGAAGTGGGAGGCGAGGCTTCTGCCTGACGTCTGACATAATGGGCCGCATGTTTGCATTGCACCTCCCCAGCCTGACTCGGCTCCCTCCCCTCAGCGGGCACCTGCCCCCAGTCTGACCCGGCCCCCTCCCCTCAGCGGACGCATCCCCCAGTCTGACCCGGCCCTCCCCTCAGCGGGCGCCTCCCGGGCGGAAGTCGGAGGAGAGCCGGAAGCGGAAGTCGTCGGCGTCGCGCGGCAGCCCGGCCGGCGGCCGGCCGCCCGCCAAGAAGCCCCGCAAGGCGGCCAAGGAGGGCCGCGACTCTCGCGACGCCAAGAAGCTGCACTGCGTCTGCCGCCAGCCGTACGACGCGTCCAAGTAGGTGGTGCGCGCGCGCTGTGGTCGTGACGTGGGCAGCGGGCCGAGACGCCACGCTGTCCAGCTGGTGGCTCTGCGGCTCGGCCGGCGCGGCGGCTGGCACAGGGCGGGCGTGAGTCAATCGCGTGATGTACAGCGTGGCCGCAGCGTTTTAACACGCGCTCGGGTGGGGGGGGGGGTCAAACTGTCCCCCCTCCCACCGAAGGTTTTTCCAGAATGGTTTCCGAACGGAGCAGCGTAGCCGCGCCAAATTTTGCTTAGCTGTAGACAATTGAATAGCGGATCGTTTGACGTAAAAAATTAGACGTACCTTGTAAGGTCGCTGACCTATGGCAGGTCAGAGTCAGGCCATGGTGTCAGCGAAGGCGACTTCTAGGGAATCATCCAATCTGATACAATAACGGAGTGTTTGACGAAGCCATACGTCTCCGAAATGCTTTCTTAGGCACCACAAATATTGAATAAGCAAATCATGTTGGCCTGAGGTCGGGTATGAGGGTCAGACCAAGGTCACAGCCAACCTGATTTGTTACTCTAGGGCCTGCTGTATGTGATAGTTTGTAGTGCTCATTTATAATTTATTGACAACAGGAACCGTATTATACATCTTCTATTCACGTCTTAGAGGTCAGAAAAGGTCACTGACGTTAATAAACCAGGTCGACATTTTGTTTTAGGAACATACCGCCTAGGGTAATCTTTGTCGTTTATTCAAATGCAAAACTCAGAGCGGTCTTGTATGATTTTGGTCACCATGACCTTCAAAAGGTCAAACAAGGTCACTGACCGCAAATGAGCTTTTGACCTTTTGCTTAGAAACAGTTGCCTAGGTTCTGGGGGCACTTTAGAGACCAACCTGGAATTTGATCTTGTTTGAAGTTATTTGACCTGAAGGTCATGACCCAGGAAGCTCAAACTTTGACCTAAGTGAGTTCACGTACAGGTCAAAACACGCTTTAAATTTGGTGTTTCTAGCTTTCTTAGTTCCCGAGATCTCAGGAGGGTCAAATTGACCCCTTCACACACACACCCGAGCGAAGCGTATATAGCCGGCCGCCCGGGCGCGTGTTAGGGTGCGGCGGAGGTGCGCTGTGTTCGGTGCCGATGTGCAGGCGCCGTGGCTGGTGTGAAGGGCGTCAGCCGCGCCCCAGGCTGGCGGCTGTCTGAGTCGCGGCCGGCTCCACGTGCTCACCGACGCCCGGCGGTCCGCAGGTTCTACGTGGGCTGCGACATGTGCAGCAACTGGTACCACGGCTCCTGTGTCGGCATCTCGCAGCGCAACAGCAAGAAGGTGAAGGCGTTCATCTGCCAGCAGTGCCAGTCGGCCAAGGAGAACCGCGAGCTGTTCTGCTTCTGCCGTACGGAATACGACGAGTCGCAGTGAGTGGAGCCCCGCGCTGCCGACGGCGGCCCGCAGCGGCGGCTCCCACCGACGCCGCTCTCCGCAGCGGACGGGCGCTTAGTTGTTGCGTGTTGTTGCCTGATGGTGGTGGTAGGTCGAAAGGTCGCTAAGGCCGAGTGATAGGATCGGCGTCATTGAATTGGTGTCGGCCGGTGGGGTGTCAGCAACGCACGCACACACCACGCACGGATGAGAACGGGGCCGCAGGCGGGTCTGGGGTCTTCACCTCGCGAAGGGTGGGCTGTGAAAGTTGTGGGTCGCCTCGCCATCGAGCTCCGTGGCTAGAATGGCACCGGTAGAAGTGATGACACGTTTCCAGCTGGTCTGGTGGCGTGACGGAAATGACTTGCCGCTCCCATCCCGGTCCTTTGGCATCTACAACTGTACAAATGATTTCTGATTGTGTGAAGCGTCAGCCCTCCGTCATGGCGTCGCGGCGGCGGCGCTCGAGCGCTGTGGGACCGCCGCCCCGCCGGGGGTGTTGGCGTCCTGCCGGCCGGCGCTGCCTGACGCCGCGTCGCCGCCGCCGCCGCCGCCAGGTTCTACATCGGCTGCGACAAGTGCGAGGACTGGTTCCACGGCCGCTGCGTGGGCATCCTGCCGTCGGAGGGCGACGACATCGACGACTACGTGTGTCCGCGCTGCGACCCGAGCTCTCGCATCAACCGGCCCAACTTCCAGCCGCTGAACGACGCCAACTACGCCGAGCTGCGGCGCGTCTTCAAGCAGATTAAGGTGAGCCGTGGCCCGGCCGCGCGTGCCGCTGGGCCGACGTGGCGGCACCGATGCTCCGGGCATCGTCAAGTTCGGATGGCAGATCCAGAGCGTCAGATTCAGTATTCTTCATACACGGGCACGTTTAGTGACGGCAGTTTAACGCACGCATTTTCTGTTCTTTTTGCTTGAGGACGTAGCTTCTGTTTGAAAAGTACGGCGAGTTACTGTGTTACTAAATCGCGTTTGTTCTTTTACTCAGTCGTAAAACAAAGTTGTTGCAACTTTGCATCGTAAAGAAATGAAGTCACACCGCGTCACGGTTCCCTGGCATCGCTGCGAACGACGATTCACACCTGCAGAGCATTTGCCACCGTGCCTTGTGTCGCGTACCGTCTGCACGCGCGCCGCCGGCGAGGGGTGTGGTGTGGAGCTGCGCCGGCCGCGTGTGACGCGCCGTGTGCGTGTGCCGCCCCTCCAGAACAACAAGAACGCGTGGCCGTTCATCGAGCCGGTCGACCCGGACGAGGTGCCCAACTACTACAAGGTCATCAAGGAGCCCATGGGTGAGTGCGGGCGACACGCGACCGGACGCTGGTCTGCGGACGGGAGATGGGATTTCAGCAAGGGCCCTGACCGGCTTGTGACGTCCGGGGGTGCGTGGCGCCCGTGCCTGGACTGGCTGCCGATGTGGCCCTCGTCACACACGATTCGGGGAAAACGGCTTTATGCACCGCCGCGCCTTTTGTGATGACTAGAGGTGTGATGTGGGACCCGACGGTATACGTTGCACCGTCGCCGGTGGATTGTGCCGTTAAATGTTGCAAGATGTTTCCGTGCATCGTGTTACGCTCCAGATGTGTGAAACAATGGCATTTTAAACGGATGAGAACGGTGCGTGGTTGGCCTCACGGCGGGCAGAAACCAACCAGCGCTTAGTTGGCCGGGTTTGCTTATCCTGTCGGTGTGGTCGCACCGAGCAGCGTCGGCGGCGCTGGCTGGGCCGTCGCTCGGCCGCTGCGGCGAGCGCCGCGATGTGCGGGACCACCGGCCGCCTTCAGCCTGTCAGTGCGAGCGGGGCCGTTGACGGCGTGTCTCCGTGCTGACCGCAGACCTACAGACCATGGAGAACCGGCTGGAGTCGCGCCACTACGGCCGCCTCTGCGACTTCACCGGCGATATGATCGTCGTGCTAGACAACTGCAAGTACTTCAACCCGCCCGGCACGCGGCTGGCCACGTGCGGCACCAACCTGGAGGCCTTCTTCCGCGCCGAGCTCAAGAAGCTGCGCGCTAAAATCTGAGGTCGGAGTCGGGCTTCGGGGGCGTCGAGGCGCGCGTCAGAGCTGCGCCCCAGGGGCGTCAGAGCTGCGCTTCGGGAGTGTCGGAGCGCACGTCAGAGCCGAGCCCCGAGGGCGTCGGAGCGCGCGTCAGAGCTGCGCTCAGGGGCGTCGGGGCACATGTCAGAGCCGAGCCCCGAGGGCGTCGGAGCGCGCGTCAGAGCTGCGCCCCAGGGAGCCGGGGCACATGTCAGAGCCGAGCGCCGGGAGCGTTGGAGCGCACCGGTGGGCGGCGTGCCGACGCGCGTCCGACGCGTGTCCGCCGCGCCGGTGCGGTGAACTGACGAAGCGGCGGGGTCGGCTGCGCGCTATGCAAGCGTTGTGCCACGTGCGTGTGCGTGTGTGTGCGGCGGCGCCGTTCGCCGTCGGCTGGCGGAGGGCGCTGTGACGTCTTCAGCTGACGGAGCGCCGCTCCGCCGGTCGTGCGCCTGCGCGTTTGAGTTCTTATTAATTAGCGGATTCCATTGACACGTTTCGAGTGTTTCAAGTCATTCGAGTCACGATTTGTACAAATCCCCATCATCGTTCACTGCGTATTGTGCTGTTTCTGCGCGAGTCGGAGCTGGATTTTAGCAAAACTGCAGGGTCTTATGACCCGGGCTGCCGGTTGTACAATTCAAGGCGCATGGTCGCACGCATGCGCAGCTGTATTTTATTCGTCGATTACGTTGTTTTCTCCGCGGATTTGTCATGTTGCTAAATAAAACCGCGTGTCAGCCCGGAAGTAGTATTTCGTGGAAGGCTGGTAAGTGGTAAACCATCGACGTTATTGATCCCACCATCAACTTACCTTATTCTCAAAACACCTCGCTGGAAAGGTTCACGTATGATAAAGGTATATGGACCTGCTGTTCCAAGCATATGCATCTCCATAACAGTCAATCCGTTTCTGGACTACGAGCCCTGCTGCACGTGCAAGGGAGCGGACGGTCGCACGGTCCTCAGATTGGCGTGTTGCGGCCTTACAGTGTCGGCGGCGGAAGTGAGTGAAATGAGGACAGACTGATTAGAAAGAAGACGCCAAGGCGTGCGTCAATAAACGTGATGCAATCACAGCTGAGTCGCGCTCTGCCTCTCGAAGGTTATCACGGCCTCAAAGATACTGACGGTTCTGTCCCGAACGTTCGTCACTGACAACAGGCAGAATTTCGCAGCCGTGGAAGGAACAGCAAATATTACACAGACCACATTACGTACTGTGTGCACGGCAGTTACTTTATTCTCACGTGTTTAAGCACCTAAGTGCGTTTCGTGTGCATATTTAGCAAGTGACTAAGAGTGGCGCGAGGGGGTCGCTATCGCGCTTTCCGAAAATTACCCGTTAGAATAGAGAATCAGGGGAATATGTGGCCATATTTAGACAAACTATGGACCGTAAACGCCGCATCGTACGAAGACCCCATAGTCCGCTGCGCTCTCGCGTGATTCGTTTTCTCCTCTGTTAGCTAGGGCGTTGGGCCCCATTTCTTTTGCTTCGAATTATTTGTGCTTGCATTGCCTGTTGAACGTATTAGATCGCTTTTTTATTTCTTGGAGATCGTCGTCGAATCGTGAACAGTGTGGGAGGGTCGGTAATTATCGTGGACAAAGGCGGGTCCATTCTGTGTGGACCCTGGCTTCAGCAACATATGAGAGGAAGTTTGTCGCGCCCTGGCGACGGGTCATGACCTGATGTCGTTATGTAAGTATCTGACATGTGACTGCCATTCTTCAGCATCAGTGAAACATCTCTTAAAACAGTTAACCATGCTGGACCCTTTTGTAGGTCAAAACATTCTAAAGTACTTGGGACAGGTGTTGATTGTTTACAGTTCCAGTGTCATACCACATTGAAAAAGAATGTAGAGAATATATTTGGACTTGCCTAATCCATTTTTATTTGAACATGCATGCCATATTCTGAACAAAATGATATGATGAGGGCATCTGATATTATGCCTTGATATTGGTCATGCCTAGCAGTTAGCACAGATGGAACTTGGCTAGATAAGAACTGTGTGAGGTTTTTCTTCCCATGTTTATGTGTAGCCACCACCCTGTGTTGCTGTGACATAGTCTTCTCACATTATTGTGGAACTGCAAGGATTGTGTAATGTATATGCAAATTGCAGAACTACTCATTGTTTGTCTGCCATAATGTATGTCATAGTAAGTGTCCTTTTAAACAATGCATAACATCATTTTCAATGGCTTGTAGATATCCCTTATTATAACCTTTCACTACTGCTGTGAGCAATATCATCTACCTATAAGTCATCCACATAACCCAGGTCAAAATATGCCAGACAGATTATTATGTGAATGTGAGTGGGATAATAATGTATTTATTGTTTTGTCATGTTTTAAACTTAAACAGGGTATTTTCCTTATATCTTTACTTTGTTCTGAAGGTTGCAGTGACATGCCAACTGATAACAAATTGATCCATGCCATTGATCCATGATATTGTCTTTCATTTGAACAGTATGCCTATATTGAGATGACAAAGTAGCAGTCAACATGCTTCCAAGTTAAAAGCATTTATTGACTGACATTTGATTCAGTAATGTAAGAAGCAGTGCTATTTTGTGTAGCATAACAACTTTTCAAAAAGTTGAGTTTTCCCAGACTTACTTGTAGTTGATACCATACTTTTAAAATGATATATCTGTTGGGCCTGTCAGGGCAAGAGCACTGGGGTCTTTTTGTGCTCATCATAGCTTTACTGTGGGTATTTGCTCTTTTTGTTATTATGCACATCTACCTGAATTGTGTTATGACCTAAAACACTGATGCCTGCTGTGTAGGTTATCTGAGTCCCAAGCAACAATTTGATTTGTGTAAAAGGCTTTTACTTTGTTACTGCTGATACTGTATTTGGCTAGCATTGCTGCTGTTAAGTTGGCTGAACAATCTCTTTAAGCAACCTTCAAATATACCAGCCCATTATGAATGTGGTTGAGAACATGGATGAATAAGAATTGTAAGTAAACTACAAAGCCACAAAATATGGTTTTATTTTTCCACTGTAGTGGTACCCATGGGCAGTGGAATGCTGGATGCACTTGTGCCACTTCTACCAGCAACTCTCAGTTTTGATACACTAACTTGTTGTATTGGTCTTATCCTGGTCCCTGGCTTTCAAAAGCATATGAACTGTGGACCCAAACTACAGGTACTTCAGGCTCTGCCACTAAACCAATCAGTCATGCAACATGATCAACATGACCTCTGCCTTCAGATCCCTGTCCACTGCTGACCCCTAGCCTCACAGTATACCACTGCTACTGACCTGCCCGGGGCGTCCTGCAGCCCTCGCGCCCTGCTCTGAGGGCCGCCGCCGTCAGCACCACCGCCAGCGCCGCCGCCGCCGCCGCCGCCCCGGATGCGTCGGCCGCGGCCGCCGTCTAGCCATGGCGTCCTCCAGTCCCAGCCAGGAGCGGCCGTACGACTACCTGCTCAAGATCCTGCTGGTGGGCGACAGCGACGTGGGCAAGGGCGAGATCCTGAGCCGGCTGGACGCCGAGCCGACCGACTCGCCCTTCAGCTCGCTCACCGGACCCGGTGAGAGGCGGAGGCAGACACAGGAGCAGGGTGGGAGGCTGGTGATGGGGACCCGGTGAGAGGCGGGCACCGGTGCAAGGAGGGAGGACTGGTGATGGGAACCTGGTGGGAGGCGGACGTCGGTGCATAGAAGGGGGCTGGTGAGAGACGGACACGGGAGCAGGAAGGACTGGTGATGGGGACCTGGTGAGAGGTGAACACTGGTGCAGGGAGGGGGGCTGGTAAGAGGTGAACACTGGTGCATGGAGGGAGGACCTGGTGGGAGGCACACTGGTGCAGAGAGGGGGGGGGGGCTGGTGACAGGGACCCAGTGAGAGACGGACGCTGGAACAGAGAGGGGGGGGGGGATCTGGTGACGGGGATCCGGTGAGAGGCGGACACCGGAGCATGGAGGGGGTTACTGGTGACGGTGATCCGGTGAAAGGCGGACATGGGGTGGGGAGGGAGGGCTGGTGACAGGGGCCGGTGAGAGGCGGACACTGCTGGTGCAGGGAGGATGGACTGGTGAGGGGCGGTCACTGGTGCAGGGAGATGGAGGGGTAGACGGACGGGGGCGGAGAGCGGTCAGGAACAGTGTGGTGTTGAGGGAGGGTGATGAGCTGTGTATAGGGCTGTGCAGCTGTGTGGAGTGATGCTGGAATGGGCATGCAGGATGTGAAACGCGCAGTTGCTTGCGCTCGTGACATACATCTCCCTCATTTTTTGCACTTACAATTGGGAAACCTTACTCTGCACACCAGCAGCGGGTTTGATGAAATACTTAAACCCTCATCCAAATTTGCAGTATACAATTAGGGACATTGCAACAAAGGTGTAGTGTTACAATGACTCCTCATCAGGGCATGCTGTGGGTGCTGATAATGAATTTTATTCTATGTATGCATTGTGGGTTTGAAAATGGTTGGGTATTTGTTTTAATAATTTAAGAATTGGTTGGATATTTTTAGCATTATAATTAGCTTTTATTTATTGTTTTGGTATTATTTAACATGAATTGTCCTTTAACTGTCAAGGTGGCATGCGTTACCACATCCCCAACTGCGAGTGTGCCGCGGGCCGTGCGGTGAAGTGTGTCCTGCCGCCTCCGTGTGGGGCTATAAGGCAGACCGTGCGTGATGTCCGCCCCCCCCCCCCCCCCCCCGAAGCCAGCAGACGGGACTCTGCACCACACAGCCCCCCTCCTTCCTCCGCCTGGCTGTGGTGATGTGCTCTAGAACATCGAGAGGCCTTGTAAAGTGCTTAAGGCATGGGGTGCAACGACCCGAGCGGTTATCGCCTTTGGCCTTGACGTGAGCGGTCTGGGCTGGAATCTCGTTGGCGCTAAGATCCTCGAGCACCAGTGGGGTTTCTGCAGTCGCTGGCGCTGCGTTAACGGGCGCGCGACGATACACGTCGCGTTCCTTCAAATAGTGCTCGAGACCGCATGAACGTGACCCGCCTGTTGGGCTGTTGCTGGCGGCACTAACCTGTGGCTGGACAACAGATAACCGCTGGGTGCCGGCCGATGTGCGGCGGCCGGACGTGGTGTTCAGCTGGGAGAACCACCTGGCCTCGTGTCTTGTTTCTTGTTTTTTTTTCTCGTATTTTGGTATTCCCCGGGAAGTGGATAGTCGGTGTTGATTCCTGTCAGCGATTATGCAACGGTGCGGCGCCCAATGTCGTTTCGGCGCTCGTTGCAAGGCCGCCTGTCCGCGTGGCGCTCGCGGACGGCCGCGCCGCCCGGTCCGTCCAGCCGCGTGTGTCGAGCCGCCCACCCTGCCGGCAGACTGTAAGACCACCATGATCCTGCTGGACGGAAAGCGGGTGAAGCTGCAGCTGTGGGACACGTCGGGCCAGGGTCGCTTCAGCACCATCCTGCGCTCCTACTCGCGCGGCACGCAGGGCGTCCTGCTCGTTTACGACATCACCAACAAGTGGAGCTTCGACAGCATGGACCGCTGGCTCAAGGAGGTCGACGAGGTGAGCGGGCAGGGCAGGAGAGTGCTGTGGGAGCGCCCGATGCGTCCGCTTTGGGGCCGGGCTCAGCGCCGCGCGGACAGCCGGTCCAGGATCTGCCGCCCTGTTCAGTGGTTATGTTTAACCTTTCGGCGGGGTTAACACACCACTCGTGACTCAGCCGTGATTCAGCCGCTGCTCTGTCGACATGGTCGATATGAGCGTCGGTGTCGGCGTCATTTTGCACCCCTCGTCCGTGTCGATGGTACCCGCTCGCCTGCGTGTCGTCACCGGCCGTGGTTATGTTTAACCTTTCGGCGGGGTTAACACACCACTCGTGACTCAGCCGCTGCTCTGTCGACATGGTCGATACGAGCGTCGGTGTCGGCGTCGTTTTGCGCGCCTCGTCCGTGTCGATGGTACCCGTTCGTCTGCGTGCCGTCACCGGCCGGCGGCTCTGTCGCGGTGGTGCGCGTGCTCAGGAGCCTGAGCGTGCGCCGACTGTCCGCCAGCACGCCCCCGGCATCCCCAAGATCCTGGTGGGCAACCGCTGTCACCTGGCCTACAAGCGGCGCGTCTCCCTCTCCGAGGCCGAGGCGTACGCCGCCGACAACCGCATGGCCTTCTTCGAGATGTCGCCCCTCTGCGACTTCAATATCCTGGAGAGCTTCACCGAACTCAGCCGGCTGGCGCTCTACCGCAACGGCATGGAGCGGCTATGGCGAGCAAATAAAGGTAAGACATTTAGCGGCTGTGGTGAGTCAATAAAGATAAGGCATGGAGCGGCTATGGCGAGCCAATCAAGGCAAAGCTTGGAGTGGCTGTGGTGATCTGGTAGATGCGCGACCTCAAGTGACTGTGGTCGGCACAGCAAACTAAGCCAGTGTGAGCCACAGAGAGGGGTTGATTGATGATGCGCTCGGCGGCGGTGGTAAGAGGCAGCTACGTTGTGCTACGGCTGGCGCTGAGATGCGAGGTATTAAGTGTCGGTGCCTGCCAGCCTCCCCTCCCTGTGCCTGTGCCTGTGCCTGTGCCTGTGCCTGTGCCTGTGCCTGTGCCTGTCCATGTGCCTGTTCTTGTGCCTATCCCTGTCCCTGTCCCTGCCCTGCCCCTGCCCCTGCCCTGCCCCTGTCCCTGTCCTTGTGCCTGTCCCTGTCTTTGTCCCTGTCCCTGTCCCCGTCCCCTGCCGCTGACATGTGCGAGCAGTACTCAGCCTGCTCTCCCTTACCGTGAGTGCTGCTCAGTGTGCTCTCTTCCCCCAAAAGTACGTAGTCCCCCATTGGGATACCAGAGCCCCCAGCCTTCTCCCCCTCTGTGCTAGCAATACTCAGGCTGTTCCGGCCTGTGTCAGCAGTGTTCAGTCCCATCCCTTGTTTCCTTGCCTGGCGCTCAGCCTGACCCCCCTGGCCTGTGCCTGTAGTGCTCAGTCTGACCCCTCTGCTCTGCGCTGGCAGTGCTCAGTCCGCAGAAGCTGTGCAAGCAGTGCTCAATCTGACCCCTCTTCTCCGCAATAGGCAGTGCTCAGTCTGACCTCCCTGGCCTCTGCCAACAGAACTCAGCATCTGGCCCCCTGGCCTGTGCTGGCAGTGCTCAGTCTGACCCGTCCTAGCCTTTGCCTGCAGCACTCAGCATATGACCCCCTGGTCTCTACCAGCAGTACTCAGTGTCTGACCCCTGCCCTGTGTCAGCACTGCGCAGTCTGACTCCCTGGCCTCCACCAGCAGTACTCAGCATCTGACCCTCTGCTCTGCGCCGGCAGTGCTCAGTCTGCAGGAGCTGTGCTGCCGGGCGATCGTGGCCCGGACCACCGTGTACGGCATCGATCAGCTGCCGCTGCCGGGCGCGCTGCGCGGCTACCTCAAGTCGTACGCCGAGTGTGGCTACCGCACGCTGCGGCCGCAGCGCGCCGGCTCACAGCGCGCCAAGCACCGGCGGCGCATCATCACGCCGCAGACGTACCGGCCGCCGCGCTCGGGGCTGGCGCTGCTCACCGGCGGCCGCAGCTGCGTGCTCATGTGACCGGGCCGGGCGCGCGCGGGGCTCGCTTCTGGCGCGGGCGGCACGCGTGGCGCGGCGGTCGGCGCCGCGCCCTCCAGACCTCAGTACAAACGGAGGGGCGCGCCAGCGTCCCCGCGCCTTCACCGCAGTGCTGCCGGCATGGCCGGGCCGGCGCCGTCTAGCGGCCGCCGCGGCCGCCGCGACTGCGGCCGTCACCGGTAGATGGTGCGCGTGTTTGTCTTCCCAGTTGCGAGTCCCAGTGTTCATTGAACGAGCCGTCTGCCCGCGAGCTGAGGCTCTACAGTCATCCTGTACATAGGCCATTTGACACGTTGTAATGTTTTCATACGGAGTGTGTGTGGGGGCAGGAGGACGCCGCCATCGGGCTGATACGCCGCCGCTGGGGCCGCGTGAGGACCGGCCGCTCCTGACCGACCCCAGCCGGCCGGCTCGGCGCGTGTCCGGGGTCGTCTTCTGTTGCCGGCCTGGCCCGGTGTGCGCCGGTCGTGTCTGTCTGTCTGTCTCGCTGTCTGTCGGTCTGTCCGTTCGTCTCTGCCTGCCGGCTCGGGCGCGGGCCCCGTGCTGCGGGCCCGTTCCAGGCTGACGGCTCGCACGGCCCCAGCCCGGGTCGGGTCTCTCCTGTCCGTTTGTCTCGCCGTCTGCCGCTCTCCAGCCTATCAGTTGACTGTTGTTCGTTCGCGTGCGTCTTGCCGGACTGTCCTCTGCTGCTACTGCGACTTCTCAGCCGGTGACGGCGAGCTCTGATCGTGAGTTAGGACCCTGATTGGTGCTTTTGTGCCGCACACTGCTGACTTGCAATTCGGCTAATATTTCTCCGCTTGCTGAAGGGTTTTGTTATTTACATATATGTTCGGGCAACTAGCATTTAAGACAATGCGACTGTGTGGACCTGGAGGATCGCGAGATGGAATCTCACGTTCGCGTTGGAGAGATAATACAAAACACTGATCAATACAAATGTACAAAATACGTTATATGTGTATGACCGTGCAGTACGCGGTTACTGGATTTACAGCAGTACGGTATATGAACGAGGGCAACGGATCATCTTGTCGCGTTACGACACAGCTCGTTTCGGAGTACAATGTTCGGGTTATATGAGTACAGTTGTAGGCGCGGCGCGTCTTCAGTCGTTCTTTTCTACTTCCTGCCAAAAAAAGATCGCAATCAGGATTTCTAAACATTTAGCAGTCACTTAGCTGACTGCCACAGTGCAGTGAGGTAGTTCACAAAGCAGGACGGTGTTTTTCTTGGGAGTCTACTTGTGGGATACGCAGCCGAGCATACTCGGCGGAGGTGCGGCGGCTGGTCAGTAGAAAGTAGGCTAATCCGGGGAATAATCCCCACGAGGACGGCCTGGAAAACAAAGGGCGAGTGAGACGTACCTTACAGCGGAGCTTTAGTGCGTCTTTATCATCGAGTAGAAATGGTCGGGACGATGCAGCCTTGCGCGGCCATCTTAGTAATGGTGAGTGCCTGGCGCATGTTTGCATGCCACCTGTATGCATCATTTAAATGTAAGCACTCGTGTATCCCTGTTTTGACTGAATCACGCTTTGAAAGCAGTGGGGTGCTGGTGCCTCATTGCATTACCCTGCTATGATTTGCTTGCGTATTAAGTTCCGTGATTGGAGAGTTCTCAAATATTGCCACCTTTACCACCATGCCGGCTACAAAGTGGAAGTCGTGCTATGCGGTCCGTCTTTGTCAAGTATATGGCGATCCTGTTTTGCGTTCGAATTATGTTACCACTGATTTTGTTACATATATTGCGAAGTGACAGCATTTTTGAGTGAAAGCACGTACAGCGTACGCGCTGTTCGGTCTGCCGCCTTCGCCAGTGCTGCCACAGCAACCATGACCGGCCGCCCCGCCGCTGGCGCCGCTACCGCGCGGTAGCGTCGTGTCACACCGCCGACCCCCCCCCCCCCCCTCCCGTGTGCTCCAGCTGGCGGCAGTGAGTTCGTTCGGCGCCCAGCAGCCCCTGCCGCCGCCGCTGGCCGCCGGCGACACGGCCCAGGGCTGCAGGAACGGCTCGCAGCTGTTCGAATACCTGTATGGTTGGCGGTACGCGGCCGACACCGAGGCCGGAGAGCCGTGGGTGCTGCTGGCCGAGCTGCTGGCTGACCGAGACGTCACGCAAGCGGGTAAGGACGAGTACGCAGAACGGCCAGACTGGCTCGGCGAGTCGCATGGTGCTAACCGCCTTCAACGGCGTCGTTATAATTGTGCTAATGCCGTTCATATGTCATCGGTGGTTAATGTCATCGTGTTTTTTTCAATGATACGGGCGCGTACTGACAGGAGGCTATGTTTTTGTTGGTAGAGTTAACGCGTTTTCAAACAGGCAGCGCAGAAAAAGAAAAAAATAGTCAGAACGGGACGATGCCGTTTGCTTAAACAGTAGCAACGTCGACATCAATATTTCAAAGCCTAGCAGCGAATGCAAAACGACAGTGAGCTAGCACAAGCATTACGAGTCCACCGATGGTCTCTCGTCCTCTCTCGTGTCTCACGTCTCTCGATGTGATCGGGCTGGTGTTGACCAGCGACTGGTCGTCCATAGTGGAAGGCGTGGGGCCGGGCGGCGGGCGCCGGCGGCGGAGGCGAGCCCCTCCCCGAGCTCGAAAGGCCGGCACTCGGGCCCATACCAGACCCGGCAGACCGCAGGACGGCGGCCAGCAAGACGAGATGGAGATGCGTCAGTCAGTCGCCTTTCTGGGCGACATCGCGTTTACCTTGCCCCTAATCACCTTCGACGTGCCGTTCACGGGCGTGGAGATACCAATGCTTGACTATGATTCTCGTGACTATTTCACTGTGTGATCCGCCGGTACGCTGATGCTGGTGCTGTCGTGTGCTGGCCGCGATATTAGCAATGATTTTGGTGCGGGCGACCGGGCGTGTGAAAGGCGCGCTGTTGGCACCTAATGGTGGAATTTTGGATCGAGCTTCCGCGTTTGAGGCCAAAGCAAGCGCGCGTCAGCTTCCGAGGACCAGGGTCTGGTGTCTGTGTATGTGCAGTTGTGTGTCTCTGATGTCAGCTGCTGTCATAAAAATGCACTGGAGTGAAACATATATTCCCTGGATGCGATATTTCCGACAGTTGTTTGGCGTCGTGTTTTGCAGTCGCAGAAGCCAATGTGCCACGACAAGGGGACGGTGGCGACAGGGGCGGATCTAGCCTGGAGTTGTTTTTTTTTGGGGGGGGGGGCAACCGTTTGTCGCCAGCTGGATGGTGTGGGATCCGAGGTCCAGCGCATGGTGCCTCTCGCGAGTACCTAGTAGGGACACCATTCAAAACCAAAAAAAGCACCGAAATGCTTTTGAATCTTAAACAGAAGTTAAAACAAAACAGTTAAACTTGAAACAGACGGTAAGAAGACGACACTTTTATGAAGTTCCGGGAGTGCTTGGGGGGGGGGGGCGAAACATACTCTCAGAGGTTTTGGGGGGGGCATGGCCCTGTGCCCCCCCCCCCCCCCAGGATCCGCCTATGGGTGGCGAATTGATAATCTATCGTGTGGCGTGAATGGGGCTCGGGATCACACCGTATTTCCACTACTTCAAAGCTATAGACAGGTCCTTAGATCGGTAGCTTGCCAGCAGGCACGAAAACGCCCGGAAAATCCCGCGGACTCCCGGGCATCAGGCACAGTGCACGTCATCGCCCTGGCTTCCACGTCACCATTGCGTCATCTCTGACAGCTGGCATAGGTTGGATGCATGCGGAGACACGCCGCCCAACAGAAGCGCATTCCAGGGGCGGATCCAAAACGCTCCAAAAGGTGTTCGGTTTGAAAAATGCATCGGATTTCACTTATAGTGGCACTATGATTGCTGTAGGATGAAATTCTGTAGTAATAGTCAATTATATTTTGAGAAAGTCCAGAAGTGTCATTGTTCTTGCCTTTGTTAATCTGGGTGAGGGGTGCACGCACTCCGGATGAGCTCCCCATAGATGCACCCTCTCTAAGTGACGTCATGGGCTCGATCTGTCCCTTAGGGCCCAGGTGACAGGTTCGCGGGGAAGAAAACTGCGGAGCCCCGCCAAAGTTTCATTGTTGTTCTAGCATCACTCGCCTCCCCGATAATCTTCAAGTGACGCAGAATCGTAGCAGGATATTTCCAAGTGAATCGCACTACATGCGCATAAGAAGGATGGTAAACCGTACTTATCGTAAGCGAATGGATGACGTCTCGATGAATTGATAGTACGTCACACTTTGCATTAAGACCTCCAATTGGTTGTGATGAAACAATTACACCAGCAGAAGGACCGAGGCGGTTCACTATTGGTGGATACCGATGACGTCACAGACATGCGCAGTGCTGTACTGTCGGTCAATAAGGCTGAGAATCGCCTTTCTGAGGGCGCGTCGTGGGCCGCGCTGAGCTGATCACTGATGGGAACTTGGAGGTCGCGGAAGCCGGCCGGGTGGTGCGCTGGGCATTGTTCTGCAAAACTCGCGGATCGGTGGGGCTTGAAGGTGAGTTTTTGGACCCGTAAGCGGTGAGTTAATCACACCTTGCAATGGCTGCAATTACCGTGGTATGTTGGGACGCGCTCCAGCGTGCGGTCGCCGCCGCCCTCGTTTCGCAGTGCAGAACGCTCAGATTGCTGGGGAAAATGCGCGGCGCACCAACAGCTTGTGATTGCCTCGTAGATTATCAAACATGTGTCCTTTTTGCCCGTCGTTCATGTGGGCGTTGAAGTATCAGGCACGTACGTATCGAATGGTTGGTGAAACGGCCGAGTGTCAAGTTAGATTGCCAGTGATGTCGAGAGCTGTAATCCCCATGCGGGGCTGCTGTGTTGTCGGTACTGAGACGCCGGGCTGGTATGCGCTACGGGATCACATACTGCCACGTAGCGGTGCGTGGGGGTGCCACACCCCTGTGGCCTATCCCACGCCACCCGGGCCCGCCCCCAGCTGGCGGCCCGGCGGCGGCGGCCAAGCCCGGCCCGGCTCGCGCTCACGCTGCCGTCTGCCCCTCCGCCAGATATGGGGAACACACTGTTGCCGTACTACCAGAGCCGGGAGCCAGTCGGGCCGCGGCCAGAGACCGTCGGCCTGCTCGACCTGCCGGTACGTGACGAGCAGCGACGATCAATGGCCGCGCCAGGGGCGCCGCCAGAGTGCCACCGCCGGGGGCGTCGCCCCGCGCCGCGCCGCCGGCCGTCCCGACGCCGCGGCGGCGCGGTGCAGGCCGTCTGCCGCCGCCCCGCCGTGGCTGGGCGGCCCCGACGCCAGCCGACGCTGGGTGCGCCCCTGCGCTCCGTGTTGACGCTGCAGCCTCGGTGACGCCCGGGCTAGCGGAACTGCGAATCGTGTCTTGTCGCCGTGACGTCACGGCTCGGGTCAGGGGTAGCGATGGGTCAGGGGCCAGCTGGCGGTCCGGCCTGCGCCCGTACCGGCGCTCGTGGGCCTGAACGCAGTGGCGGATCCATAGGGTCCATAGATCCGTAGATACCGTGGGCCTTCTATGTCCCCCACCCCCGGGACCGAAGTGGCACCAAAATCCTTTTTTGGGTCCACATAGCCAATATTTTTATGACTCATAAAAGTTCAGGGGCACCACAAACCGCCCGAAATTTTCAAGATCATCAAAAAGGAAAGCAAATCCGCCTCTAGGAATTAAGTGGACTAGATTCGGTGAATTGTTCCAGCGGAATATTTCATCGATTAAAAATGAGAATCTAAAAGTGAAACGGCCAAATTCCGGGGACTTCCTTGTGTGTGTGTGTGGGGGGGGGGGGGGGGTGGCAGGGGAACCGAGTTGCAGTTAGGTCATAATGAAGCCTGCTCCCCTCGACGAAATCCTGGGTCCGCCCTTGGCTGGACGTCGTGCGGTGGTGACCAGTGTGTGATGACAACAATGACTGGATCCGTGATGTTCCTATATCATGGTACACTCTAACGTGAACCATACAGCAGTGGGTCACTAGGATTGGACGTCTGGGAGGCCACACCGACGGCCTAGGCAAGCGGGCAAATGCCTCCTCTGGGCACCAAGCCGACACGATCCTCCCATGTGGTCCCGATCAGCCGAGCGGGCGCGGAGAATACCCGGCTGTTCCGACTGCGGCCCGGCGGCGGCCGGCGGCTGCCCCCTGCTGCGACCCCATGCCACCCCTGCCCCGGGTCAGCCGTCTCCGGTCAGGAGTGTCCAGCTACCGCCTGCTTTTCAGCTGCTGGTGATGGAGAAGATCTCTGAGTACCTGTCGGCAGAGGACGTCTGGCAGCTGGGAGCCACGTGTCGCCAGCTGAGGGAGGTGAGCTTGGGCCGCCACATCGACGAGGGCATCAGCGTGCACGTGTCCGCCGTTTATCATCTTATCCGCTTCATCCTGCATCCTCGTGATGCCCCACTTGTCCTGGGCAGGCTGCATGCGTCAGCCACGAGTAGCCAAAGTGCCCCTTGGTGGGGGTCCCCGTCCGAGCGCCGAGCACACACCCCGCAGAGGGGTCCCTGCGCGGGCAAAGTCTCGGCGGTTGAACCCCCAGGTGCGTGTAGTCCTGTCCCACCTCCATCCACTCACCTTCACCCCATAGTCCGTCTGAGCTGGTGACGTAATTTCCGCGTTGATGGTGCATTTCGGAGCATTGGTATCATGCGTAGCTCTCATTAGCCGGATATTTCCGGTCACCCTCCCAGTCTGACCGTTTATCAGTTGTTGCACGTTTCTCTGGTATTACGAGGCTGTAAGCCAGAGATCATTGCTTGGAAATGTAAGCAGCATTGGTGGTGAAGTTTGCCGGCCTGTCCGCGTCCCGTTCACCAGATGAGCCTGTTCCGCGCCCCGCCCGCTGTCCTGTCTGGGGTGGCCGGCCGCCTCCCCGGCGTCCGTCCGCGCGCGGTCCTGGTCCGGCCAGCGGTGCTCCTGACACTGTCGCTGGCTGCGCTCCTGACACTGTCGCTGGCGGCGCTCCTGACACTGTCGCCAGCGGCGCCCCTGACACCGTAACCGACGACGCTCCTGGCACTGTCGCCGGCGGCGCTCCTGACACTGTAACCAATGACGCTCCTGACACTGTCGCCGGCGGCGCTCTGACATTGTGGCCGACGACGCTCCTGACACTGTAACCGACGACGCTCCTGACACTGTGGCCGACGGCGCTCCTGACACTGTGGCCGACGGCAGCTCTGCACAGACGACAAGCTGTGGCGGGACCGGATCCTGCGCGAGGCGCGCACGCTCGTGCTGGACGAGCTGAGCGCCGAGCAGGTGCGCCACCTGCACCAGCGGCACGCCGTCGCCATGACCGTCCGACACCCGCGCCTCCGGCAGCCGCACCTACAGTGAGCACGCGCCTGCGGCGCCCGCCGCGCCGTCGCTGGCCGGGTCAGCGCTGGACCTGGCCGGCTGCCGCCGCCGGGCGGGGCACCAGATCTCGGGACCAGGTGGTCAAAACGTGCCGATTGATGATGGCCAGACGACCAAACAGCGCGGAGTCGGGACCACGCAGAGTGGTGTCCGGTAGGCTTGTGTGGTCGCTGATCTGATGGCAGGCTGTGGATATGTGCAGTCCACGCGTCTGTTCGCTCCTTATCGCGGCATGACGTCCTTCGTCGACACGTGAGAAGTCCGTAGTCCTCGACTGTTGAAACGTCAGCTGGCTTTCATTGTTTGATATTTCTTTTGCGCATTAACACAGCGCCGACTGTTTCCCGCAGGCTGCGAGTTGGTGATTGTTTGGAAACGATCGGCATTATTGTATTCACATTATAATTCATCCGTATCTTAAACTGGCCGGCGCTGCGTGTGTGTGGTGGTGTTGTATCGGGGTGATGGGACCTCTGACGCTGAGCACGGCCTCCGCCCCGCAGCTGGGCGGCGGTGCGGCCGCGCAAGAGACGCGAGACTCTGAGTCGTGGGGCGCTGCTTGACTCGTGGGCGCTCATCACGGACCTGCTCACCGGGCGGAGCGCAGCCGGGCCGCCGCCGCGCGGCCTCGCGCCCCGGCTGCTCATGTACGGCTCAGGTGAGCGTGGCGCGGCGTGACGAGGCATAGGTCAGCTGAGCCGAGACTCGGTCCGGTCCGAGCTCTGGCTCACCTCCCGCCTCGGTCCGACCCGAGCTCTGGCTTTACTCCCGCCTCGGTCCGGCCCGAGCTCTGGCTCTCCCCCGGGCCTCGGTCCGGCCCGAGCTCTGGCTCTCCTCCGGTCTCGGTCCGACCCGAGCTCTGGCTCACCTCCAGCTTTGGTCCGGTCCGAGCTCTGGCTCTCCTCCGGTCTCGGTCCGGTCCGAGCCCTGGCTCTACTCCGGCCTCGGTCCGACCCGAGCTCTGGCTCACCTCCGGCTTTGGTCCGGTCCGAGCTCTGGCTCTCCTCCGGTCTCGGTCCGGCCCGAGCTCTGGCTCTACTCCGGCCTCGGTCCGGTCCGAGCTCGGGCTCTCCTCCGGTCTCGGTCCGGCCCGAGCTCTGGCTCTTCTCCGGCCTCGGTCCGGTCCGAGCTCTGGCTCTACTCCGGCCTCGGTCCGGCCCGAGCTCTGGCTCTCCTCCGGCCTCGGTATTACCCGAGCTCTGGCTCTCCCCCGGTCTCAGTCCGATCCGAGCTCTGGCTCTCCTCCAGCCTTGGGTATCTGGTGTTAGCGCTATCTGATATAAGCGATTTGGGAGACCGCTATCAGTATCTGCCGCTTACGTGAGTAATCTGAAATGTATGATTGTGCGCGGGCGCTTTCTTGAAGTGGACGACTCCCTCCACCCTGCCATCGTCTGGCAGGGTGGTAACCGTATGGTAATCATATGGTTATATGGTTACCGCCGCCATCTTGAGGCACTTGACCCCCGCCGCCACCTTGAGGTACTTGACCCCGCCACCATCTTGAGGTACTTGACCCCGCCACCATCTTGAGGTACACAACTCCCGCCGCCATCTTGAGATACATGACTCCCGCCGCCATCTTGAGATACATAACTCCCTTCGCCGCATTGAGGTACATAAACCCGCGCCATCTTGAGTGCATAACTCCCTGCCGCCATCTTGAGGTACATAGCCCCTGTCGCCGTGGTACATGAGGTACATACCTCTTGAGGTACACGAGCCCGATCCCCGCCATCTTGAGGTACACGACCCCCGCCGCCATCTTGAGCTGCGTGGCGCCCGCCACCGGTCGTGAAACAGAGGGTTGCACCTGTTGTCTGTGGCTTCAGGCTGTCAGCCTTCTGTCCACTGCGTGGAGCCGGCCGAAACCTGATACGATTTGCCCACCATTGCTCGGTGCGTTGCTAGACTTCACTTGATGGTTGGAATAGCCGTGCCTTTTTCCGGCTGAAATGTCGACGGCGGTATTCGTCCGGGGGTGTAAAGCGAATACGGCACGTGGACAGTGCTGAGCGTAGGTAATTGCCTTCTGACAGCGGTTGCCTGGCGGATTGGCCTCGACGGAAGTTCTTCGGATTCTCCGATTGGTTGATTCGTGGAGCCAATCATTTGCTCCAGTCGCTTGGCGGTTTTTGTTACCGTGATAATGCGATTTCCGTGTAATCAGAGCAATCGCCTTCAAGTAACGGCGCATGATGGTCGCGCTTCTTACAGGGGCTTCTAGATTGGCCCTTTCTTACTGGGAATGAGCTTAGTCAGCCTCGTTATATAAGGATTAGAAGTGTTGCACTTCTGCGAATGCGATTTGATATCATTTATGCATCAGTATTAGCTGTTTCTTGGTGTTGAATCTTTTGACCTGAACTTCAGTACACCGATGCGTGAGTTTGCTAGACAATTCGACTGTCAAACCTCAGCTGATGCCCGAATGACTAGCACGCATTTCTCTTATTCATCGCGTTACAACCGGCGCACAGTCCCCTTCCCCTTAGGTGAAAACATTCATGTTTCTCCTTCATGCAGTGCCAGGTCATCTGCTATTGCGTTTAAATAGTCTAAGTTTAATGGGACGCTCCGTTTTCTGACGTCCGCGCTGTTCCGGCTAACCGACTCTCCGTGACGCACAGGTCTGGAGAACAAGAGCGTGCTGCGTCGCATGATGATGGAGAAGGTGGAAGGCCTGCATGTCCATTCGCTGGTCCCCAGTACGCACCGGGGCGTCGGTACGTCCTGGTCCATCACGCCCGGTGTGCAATGTAGCTGACACTGGTATTGACTGAGTAGTTGCAATGGCCCCCTACAGTGTAGACCATGCGAATCAAAGTGTTACATGTGATAGATGTTGATCTTTGTATAATGTTACTTTTGACTAGATCTTACGGACATCGCGACCGTTCTGTTTGTAAGGACCACCACCCGTGTGTAACACTATCACCCGTGTGTAACACTAGTCACTCGTAACACGATCCCTCCCAGCCGTCTAACACCACCTCTCCCAGCCGTCGAATACCACCTCTCCCAGCCGTCTAACACCACCTCTCCCAGCCGTCTAACGCCGTCTACCACCACCTCTCCCAACCGTCGAATACCACCTTCCCAGCCGTCCTAACACCACCTCTCCCAGCCGTCTAACACCAACCTCTCCCAGCCGTCTAACCACCACCCTCTCCCGCCGTCGAATACCACCTCTCCCAGCCGTCGAATACCACCTCTCCCAGCCGTCGAATACCACCTCTCCCAGCCGTCTAACACCACCTCTCCCAGCCGTCTAACACCACCTCTCCCATCCGTCGATACCACCTCTCCCACCGTCGAATACCCCCCTCACCGTCGAATACCACCTCTCCAGCCGTCGAATACCACCTCCTCCCAGCCGTCTAACACCACCTCTCCCAGCCGTCTAACACCACCTCTCCCAGCCGTCTAACACCACCTCTCCCAGCCGTCGAATACCACCTCTCCCAGCCGTGTACATCACCCCCTCCCCCCTGGCCGTGTGTAACACCACCTCCCCACTCCCGGCAGGCGCCGGCGTGCGGTTCCGCTTCTCGGACGACGCGACCTTTGACCTGGTGACCTTGTACTCGAACACGTGCGAGGTGCGCCGCCGTCGCACGCTGGGCGGCGCCGCCTCCCAGACGCGGCTGTACGCCTCGGTCGAGGACGGCGGCCGGCTGAAGATGGAGCCGTTCGTGCTGGAGCTCGTGCGCCACGCCGACGGCGTCGTCCACGTGGTGGAGGCGTCGGCGCAGAAGACTGGTGAGCTTTGGAGCGGGCCGCAGCCGCTGGCGCTGCGCGGCAGCCGAGGCGGTGACTCCCACTGACGGCGAACGCCTGATCTCAGCTCGCTGCTCGAATGAAAGTAAAGGTCATTGAAACCAGCCGGTGTGCGCACTTCGCTTGTCATTTTGGGACAACCGGCTAGGGATGCGGTGGCGTAAAAAGACTTGTAGCTCAATAACCATTACTAACCAGTTAAAATAGTTAACAACCAGCTACATGTAACCGTTAGTAAGCACTGACTGACGGTCCAAGATCACAGCTTCTCACCTTTTTAGGCTCGCTCTGCTTTTGCGGCGAGGATCGGCACCCAGGCGCGTCCAGCCAGCTGACTTTTGAACGCCATTTGCACTTGGACGGGTGTGCGGTGTCCATCAGCGCTGGGTGCCGGCCGGCCCGCAGCCAGGGGCGCCGGCCGGGCAGCCGCTCGTGCTGACCCGGTGCGACATTCCCCGGCAGACTATGGGTTTGAGTCGGCCGAGCTGGCGGCGATGCAGGAGGTGATGACGGAGGCGGCGCGGCCGCTGCCGCTGCTGACGCTGCTGCTGTGCAGCGAGCCGGCCGGCGCTGTGCCCCGACACCTCGGGTGGCAGGTGGAGCGGAGCATGGCCACGCCGCACGAGGGACCTCAGGCGGTCAGTGACGCGTCCCTCCACCTCCCCCACCGCGTCCCTCCACCTCCCTCTGTCGGACCTCAGGCGGTTAGTGATGTGCCCCTCCACCTCCCCCACTGCGTCCCTCCACCTCCCCCTGCTGGGCCTCAGGTGGTCAGTGACGCGTCCCTCCACCTCCCCCACCGCGTCTCTCCACCTCCCCCTGCTGGGCCTCAGGCGGTCAGTGACGCGTCCCTCCACCTCCCGCTGCTTGGCCTCAGGCGGTCAGTGAGGCGTCCCTCCATCTCCCGCTGCTGGGCCTCAGGCGGTCAGTGACGCGTCCCTCCGTCTCCTCCACCGCGTCCCTCCACCTCCCCCTGCCGGCCCTCAAGCGGTCAGTGACGCGTCCCTCCGTCTCCTCCACCGCGTCCCTCCACCTCCTTCTGTCGGACCGCAGGCGGTCAGTGATGCGTCCTTCCACCTCCCCCTGCCGGACCTTAGGTGGTCACTGACTCCCCCCCCCCCCCCCCTCATCTTTCCCCTTCCCCTCGGGCGGTCAGCGCGACACGTTTGTGTCATGTTTACAGGACCTCGCACACCGTCTTTTTCTTGAAATATATGGTGCTCGTGCGTGCCCGTCCTTTTGAGTCGTTTGTTTTCTTGTTCGTTTATTTTTCACTGGCGGATGGCGAGTGTCTGACAATCGGTGCTGGTCACATGTGCTTACCCGATGTGACAGCCCGTGTGTGCCTGACAGGTACTGACCACGTGCGTGTCCTCTGGAGGATGTGGCGCGTGGCTTCAGCTGGATCACGTCCGTGTGTGCCCGACAGGTACTGACCACGTGCGTGTCCACTCTGGAGGACGTGGCGCGTGGCTTCAGCTGGATCACGTCCGTGTGCCGCCATGAGCTGCGCTCCAGCCGCGCCGCCGCCGCCAGAGTCGAGCCGGCGGAGTTCGCCTTCGGCCACGGCGCCGCCGCCCCGACGCCGCCCACCTGAGACTGGCGCCGCTGCGTCGGCCGCTGTGGGGAGGAGCCCTCGCCCCACCGGAGCCGGACCGCCCGACCCCGGCAGCTAAGGCAGCTGTCGGAAGACCAGATGTAGCTTTGGCAATGGGGAATGGGAATTGTGTTGTGTTCTTATGAATTATGTTGAAGCGGCAGGGACCAGCAGTCTGGGCAGGCTCTGTGGGCTCCACGGGAGGCTGACCGGGCGCTGGGTGCTGTCTGGGAGCCCAGGCTGTCTGTCATCCCCGGTCCTTGCCGAGCATGGCCGATGTCGCCGGTTCATGATGCTCAGTTGGGTCAAGTTGACTCGGAGTAACTTAAAGTAAGTCGTGAGACGTGGGGGTCGAGTCGTAACTCGAAATGGAGTGACCATTATTGTGGGCTGAGTCATGCCGCGGAGTCTCATTGACTCAGAGTCGTGAGAAATATCGACCCCAACTTGAGACTGGCTACTGCTCGAAGTCCAATCGAGTCTCTGAGGCGACCAAGCGGAGGTCCGTGGGCAGACAGCGGCCTTGGCGACAGGCCCCGCCCCTCAGCCGCCTGGAGCAGCTTCAGGCGGGCCCGGTCTGCCGTGGTTTCCGAGGGTCCACAGGTGACGTGAAGAAGGCCCCGCTCCGAGGCCTCCGGAGGCCAGTGATGACGCCGCGGCTGGGGCCTGCCTGTGTCGCCACGCGGTGAGCATTCGCCGTTAGCGCGGCGGGGCCACATTGTGCATTTGCCTCGTGCGGAATTCTGTCTTGCTAAGTGAAAACCAAGGGAGGGTGCTTTCGGCAAGGACCCTTGCCTTTAACAAGATTTGAGGAAGCAATTTTCTAGTCATAGAAATGCTAATGTGGTTATTATAAGGCCTCTAGCGACTTGCCGCTGGTTATTGTGTTGGAGGGGATGTCTGCTGGGCTGAACGATTTTAGTTTGAGGGAGAACTTGACGGGTGGCTTTGTTCCGCGTCACAATGTCTCGCTGGGCATCGCCTGTTCGCTGTGTTCAAAAGCCGCTCGAGCGTTGTGAAATATACCATGTGCGTAGAAATGGAGCCGGTTGAAACGAGTGGGGGGGGGGGGGGGGGTCGTTCCGGCTTTGTGATTTCTCACAACACCCAAGGGCTCCATGTTATAGTGTGAAGAAAGAGTTGGGTTCAAGGCACCCCAAAGATATGTGGGAGGCTCCACCCGCCGATGGGCCGTGGCTGGCTGAAGCTGGCCACGCTCACGCGCCGTCTGGATGTCCCGGGGACAGAAATGGAGTCGGCGATGCCCTGATGTCAAAACTCACTTCGCCCACCGCTGCTCACCGTCCATTGCTGCTGTCGCGATATGTGGAGACCCAGTGAAAAGGTCCATTTCCCTTTCAGTTCGTCTGGTGTGTCTGTGTGATCTTTATCGGTCGCAGTGCGCCTGTGTGCTATACATACCGATGTGAAGGAGAAACCCATGCTCCGGTCTGTGCGCCGTACTTCTGCGGATTAGGCATAATTACAGCACGCGAGCCATGACATGATTAGTGATGAGGTCAGGTCTCGAGGATGGACCGCCATAAAGCATGTCGTTAGCTCGGATAAATATGAGTTGTCGTGTGTGAATACCATTCCGCACCACTTGCGGGTCGTCTGATTTCTTTTTTTGTCGACGTTATGAGAGCTTTCAACGCCAGTGCCTGCGTGACTGCACCGGACATGTTCGTTAAACTGTGATATGATTTTTTAAATATATACTCGCGCCAAGATCGCCGCCGTTTTTGGTTGGTGCCGCGCAGACCACGCGGCGCGGCTGGTCTGCCGGATGATGGAGGGCGCCGGCGCAGACGGGGTGTGCGGACACTGACACCAGCCGGTGAGCGGGGGCGAACGGTGACCCGCTGAGCACGCCCCAGCGGACCGATGGCGGACGCTGCAAAGCGGCTGTTGGACAGAAAAGTGATTCCTGCTGCTGTCTGCTGACCAGTGGAGCTGTCTGAACGCTGCCTGAGCGATGCGTTTGACGCGTTGCATGGCGAAAGGCATGCTCGCGGCGGTAACCAGGCGCTGCTGAAGGCGATGTGGAGTGACCACAAACGCATCCCAACGGTCAGGCCGTGTGTAGACTTGGTGATTTAGCTTTGGCTCACCAACTCAGAAGAAAGCTCGCTGAAATCGATGGGGAGCGTTCTCAGAGTGGCGTTCAGCAGTCAGCCAGCTCAACCACGGCAATGCTGCGAGGGAATCACTCATCCGATTGAACGGACCAGATGCCAGCAGTGCGGACGCTCTGATAGGGGCGGTACAGCTGAAATATAATTTCAGCTCCGTGAGATGCGCAATGAACGCGGAACAGTCAATGGCCAGTCTTTATTGTGGTCTATATCTAACAGTCAGTGGTCTTATCTTTATATTACTAAACGGGCTGTGTGTGTGTGTCCGCCATCTGAGTTACATCATCTGCAGGCCAAACGGTCAAGAATTTTTCGATGAAATTTGCGCGCGACCAAGGCCCCCGCTTGCGGCGCGTGACAGTCACGTCAAAATTCTGCTTTTCGCAAAAATGAGCTCATGCTGAGCGAAACACGAGCGCAACAATCCCCATAGGCTTAACACGGCCGACGCCAATTTAGCGATTCCGGCCGTCGCACGCAAATGAGCCTACCAATACGCAAATGCGCAAAGGAGTTGTCCGTCTCCTGGCGTACGCCTTAGGCGTTAGGGGTTAAAATGGTCGTTCGCGCGGCGGGCTTTCGACTTTGTTCATTCTCCCGGCCTTTATATTCAAGAACGAGCACGCTGGCTTGCCTTCAGGATGTCCGGCAGTGGGCCGGCGGCCGGGTTGTGGGGGATGGCGGTCGGCGGCGCGCTGTGCGTTGCGGTCGCCGTGCGCGCACAGGCGGGGCTTTTGTTTCCTAACATTCACAATTGACGCGGGTACGCATTAAGCCGCATCGCGAGTTTCTGTAACGCACCGTTGCATAACAACTTGCAAGATGCCAAGTTTAAATAATCGAAATGGTACGATCACACGTACCACACGGCACGGGATCACAGATGGATTTTGCTTTCTTCCACGGTTTTGCACCTTTTGTGCCACATTTCGGCACCCATGGCACTAACACACCCGGGATTGGCGCGCTTCAGTGATGAATGGAAGGAGCGAGATGATAATGTTTGGTGACACGTGCCAAATGTCATGGCGCCCATGTGTTAAACTATGGATTAACGCAATTTTGGTCTTGCAGCGTAATCTGGAGGGGCTTGTACGTTTTCGTGATATCTCAGAAACCAGGAAATGAAGTACACAGGGACTGGCATGCTCCGATAGGTGGTGTAACGAGCAATCACTGAAGCGTGTACGTCAGGCTGCTCGTGTCATATGACACGTGCACATTAGCTGTGGAGTTGTATTTTGCCGGTTCGTCCATTTCTACGCTTTGCGCGAGATTTCCGCTCTTCTGGCACGTAGTAACACGCGGCTGGCATGCTGTGATAGGCCACTGGACGGGAAATCCCATGGTCACATGTGTCACTAGTGCCGGATGGCACGTTACACGTATCGGGTACCCACGAGCCAGGAAGATGACTTTTGCCCTTTCCCACGGGTTTACACGCTTTGTGCCACATCTCGGCACCCAGCGCGCGGAGCGACTGGGGAGTGGTATGCATTCATAACGAATGGAACACACAAAGACGTTGCATGAATTGTCATGTCGCACATGCCGCGTGTAACGCGTGCATGAACCGGCAAGGTGGATTTGGCCGTTACCGGCTGTTTTTCACTCTTCGATGCAATGCAACGCTGTTTAATACAATGGCAAGGCGTGCTGCCATCATTCCAGAGACTGACAGCTGATGGAAGGGGCAAAAATCCATGGCCACACCCCAAGACCATTCGCTCATCCCATGAAATAGATTCGGCTATGTTGCAGAGAGCGCGGCGAAGTGCGCTCTCTCCTGCCGGCGGCCGCCAGAGGCCGCTAGTACCGCGAGCGGCATGTAACCGAACCTTTTCCACACTTTACGCAATATTTTGGCAACCAGGGCACCTAGAACCGTGATTCTAACTGGCAAAGATACGTAATGAAAATTTCCAAATTTTGCATCAGCGCGGCGGAGCAAGCGCGCAAGCGCTTTTTATTACTACTGAGGCGCTTGGCGAAATCCAGCGAGTGGCTTTTCTGACGCCAAGTCAGTGCATACTACATTGATCAATACAGAAGACGCAACACATGCAAATGAGACGCAACGCCAGCGAAACACATACGGCGTTACATATATCTCATGCGGTGTCACATGTATCTCACGCCATGAAGTGAGACATTCCTACCGGGCATGTCTGCACAGATAGGCGTAAACACACCTGACAACCTCCTGTCCGTCCTTGAGCTAAGGCAGCCTTGGTGTGCGTTACAATGTTCAGTTGTCGTCTTCGGAGCCTTTGTATTTAGCTCACGACTGTCGGGCCGGGCTTCCGTTCCATAGCGCCGGGGCGACGACCCGCCGTGTGGCGACGGCCTGTTGCAAGGCGGCCATGATGGCCAGCTGAGTGATGAGTGCTGACTTTTCCATTTCCAGGAGACAGATGCTGTGCTGACGTTGCCATTTCCAGGAGACAGATCAGGCGAAGTATGTTATGTGGGAGACAGCCACGACCGTTTTGACCTCTACCCAAAACGCGACAAGTTGTCAGCCGTCTACGTTCGGAAGAACCCTCGAAATGTGCCGATCTTCACTTCGTCGTGGATATTCTATGGAACAATTACAAAAACTTAGCGATCGACACCAGCCGGCAGGGACCAAGGCACCAAGGCACCAAGCAGGGACAAAGCCGGAGCCAGGGATTTACATTGGTCAGGGCCCCAGCGTCTCTCAGGGCCCACAGCGCCTGAGTGGGGCCCTGTGGGCCCTGAGTTGGCTAGAGGCAGTATTTGAGGGAGTCAGAAGGGTGGAGGGCCGCCAGGTTCGACGATCAAGAGTCCGATTAGAGGGTCTAAAGGTACGAAATATCGGGTAGATACTCAAGGAAATAGGTGCAATGGGTTAACAAAACATTACCCGTGAAGCCACCCAAGGCTAGCGGATGGATGTGGTAAGAGAGATTTTACCCGTGAAGTAATCCACTCTACAATCGCCTCGGCAGCGCCACATTCCGTGTTCCTCGAAAATTTCTGGAATTTCGGTCAGTTATAGAATACACCTTAGAAATCAACATGCATTTATCAATTGCTGCAATGCTAATTTATGCTTATGTGCCAAATTATTGCACTCACAGACACGTGCATCAACAGAGATCGCTTCAGCTAGTCTGGTTAAGCATACAATACAATTTTCTTGTTCGACGTGCGTCATAACACGACAAATGTTACAGCCATTTTGCACTAAATCGGCAGAAAAGATCTCGGGGACAGTCATGCAAGCGACGCGAGGGCCACTTCGCAGCAGAACGCAGTCTGCTTTTCTGCAGTTTTGTATTCTGAGTTTTATATTCAATTTTATATTCAGCTTTTAGTTTTATTACATACACACACCACACACACACACACACACACACACACACACACACACACACATATATATATATATATATATATATATATATATATATATATATATATATACTTATCTCATAATAATAATCTGAACGCATTCTGCAATTCTGCGGGGGCGCTTGAATCCCGCTGCGAACAATACTTAGCAATGGCAGGTCCAAAGGTCAAGGGCTTGACGCAAATGTCCGTGACCTGTCGTGAGCTGATCTAACCTGATCTTGCACAAATGTAGGCCTAGCTAGGTGTGGGCACAAACACTTGATACTCATCAAATGGAGTAGCAATGAGGCAGCCCGGTGGTTGTTAAGAGGCGCCATTTCTGAAGATATGTGAAATTCGACACCTCGCCTGTCCCAGGTCAACTAGCTTGGACGTTTCAATGAAACTGATATAAAATAATGGCTAAATAATAAGATGTGGGTACCACCATCTACATGATGGCCGCGCCTACTTATTCATAACTGAAATGTCAAAATATTCAGAGGCCAATGTGTCCGATTTCAGGCGTACTTGTCGAGAGAAAAAAATGGAGGCATTGAGCTCGATGT